TTTTACACCGCATGCGATCACCCAGCGAAACTATGCCGCTATGTGTGCATTGCTCTGTGCCGGGTATCAATTACCATGTCCACCCCCCACAACATCTGAGAAGATGGTTTTGTGTTTGAGAGGTCTGCCCCTTCATCTGGGAACTGATCTCTAGGGGCAACGATACTTGGGCTCTTGCTGTTCTAGCTCAGTCAGCATGTGTAAATCCGACATGGCGATTGAGGCTGTCTACCGTTTGACACACAAACTTCAGCATGATGTTGCGTTGTTCACGACCCTCACCGCCCACTCTCAATCTCTTGGCACCTAACATGGACTGCTTGGCACATAAAGTGGCAGATTGGGGATATATCGGTTCCATCTAATGCGAGACCAAGCGTGCTAGTAAAGGTAAGCGGTGGTGGGCGGCTGATAGGAAAACAGATTCCGTTAAACTACGCCTTTTAGCAGAAGCGAGTCTGATTACGCAAAAAGCTTGTTACAAAAAGGAGGCTGTCGGTAGAGGTGGTAGTCCCTGGGGCTAACGAATCCCCTGAAGCGCCGAGCGGGCTTGCTGCCACATCTTCAGGCTTAACGATCCCAGTTGAACGCAAGAAACGCTACCGCGATCGAAATGCGCCACCTCGTGCCTCGCAAAACCCGCTGGATTGGGTAAACGCTGGTGTATCGTGAGACGAGTTTCGAAACGAACCGTCCATTGATTAGCTCCAAAGTGGCCATAAACCGAAAGTAGCCTTTTCTTGGCCCTGAGGTTTTTGCTAGATGACTGTCCTAGAGAGACGTTGAAACTTCAACGATATGCAGGGGTTGTAGGTTACCGTGTCCCCCCCCTCCATGCAAGTCTCACCGCACCGCTGGTTTGCCTTACTTTAGGATGTAGCATTGGGATGATTGCCACACATCAGCCTCGAATCATAGGCAGACCTGATGCCAAGGAAACTAAGGTTTCTTTGAGGCGTGCATACTGGACAGCCCGGAATGGGTGAACCTTGGTACCGGTAAGGTCGGTCCGCATCCGACTTGAACTTTGTGCGTTAGCACCTGTGGTCAGCAGCACGCTTAACCGGTTAAAAAGCCTGACATAATGCGGGTTAGTCGATGTGTCGACATGTTAGCGTAAACACCTAGTGAACAGCTGATGGTCCAACGGCTCGTTCATCTATGCTCGACACACACGGGTCGGTGGTGGACTTGGACTGGCGGTCGCGGTATACAGTCTCCAAGACGGTCCAATGGCAGTCAGCACGTGCTTCAAGTGATCAAAAAGGTCAACCCAAGAGACAAGGACTCTGCAGATTCGTCAGATGCCAGAACAGATTCTTGGCACCACCCAAAGACTGTGCTCATGAGAAACCATGGGATCATGATGCACCGCCGCTGCGGGATGCGAAACGTCATAGCGCAGAGGGGAGACGGAAGCTATTCCCATGTCCCCATAGGAAATGGTCCTCGATACCGAAGCCATGGCGGAAGGCATCAAGTCCAGATTCTTTCTCCTCAACAGTGTCCATGTAAGGATGCCAGCCTTCATGTCAGACGTGCTGGGTCCGCGGAGCCCGCGCTGTCACAACCCCACAGCCGTCAGCTCAAGCACAAGCTCGTCCCGACAGGAGATCAGCCACCTGCTCCGGGGAGGCCGATGAGTACCCCACAGCTCTGACCCATAGGACCTCGAGACAAAGCCAGTCTAGCAGCCAGACAGGTAGGGGTAAGCGATACCCGCCTGGTCTGTGCACGTGGGTATCTTGTCACCAAAATGGACCAGGCCCGCCCGGCACGTCAGCTGTAAAACACCCAGATCCGCGGTCGACGGTCCTTCCCTAGTCGCCAGGCTGAGTCACATAATTGGTGACGGCACCGTTGTACCGCCGGCTAGCTTACCTAATGCCTCCAGCGTCTTGGTCGACCATCGGCTTGATCACGGGCTAAGGGGCATGCCCATATGCCCTTCAGCCTATATGCAACAACTTTGGTTAATATGCACATGCACAAAGCTCCACAACTTTGTCTTTGATGCCGCGCTGCTCAGCGACTAAAGCCGTTCGCAAACTGCTCGCGAAAGGCTGTTAGGCGAACATGGGCGTGAATTGGCCGCCGCTTGCTTGCTTCCACCAGTGCATTGCCGCTAACTTGGCTGCTAGATACAGTACATCACGAACGTACCTTGGCATCGTCGATCGGCCCCGGGGATATACTCGCTTAGCATGCCGTGCAGGGAGATCGACACCACCCGCTTAAGCGATGAGGGCATCTTGGGGATTGCCATCACGGTGCAAGCCATGGCATGACACGCAGGGACTGTCTACATACATACGTGCGAAAGACACAGCCTGCCAGCAACGAGGGTAAGCTGAGACGGAATAATGCATTAGCTTCATCAATCGTATGACACTGCCACGAGCCGAGTGGCGATGCCTGTGGCTTAGGCCTCTGAGGAACCGACGGTTGCGGCGCCGTAGGGGGGAGGCATGGTGAACACGTTGTGCAAAGCAATATTCATCGTAAGGAAGGCTGAAGCTGACCCCATGCGTCTAGCGACTACATCGCCTGTTTCTCAGATGAGCATGAGCAAGGGCATGGCGAAATCATTTCCCACTTTTTTCTCGTTCCGCCCCCACAAGATGAAGCCATTCTCGAGGCTGGGGGATGATTGTTTGGCTGTGCAAGAGACGATTTCCATACCGCCAGTATTCAACACAGCTAGGCGTACTCACCTATCCGCCCTGACTATCGCCACTATCGCACAGCTTTGTGTCTTGTAACCCCCGAGTACCGAATCCAGACTGTCCCAGCATCCCAATTTAGGCTCGCTTAGAGATAAACGCCTATCTTTGGGCTGCTGCGGATGCAGACATCCAGCCCAACAGCCTACCGTCCTGGGGGAGCCTTCATTTTTGCTTTTTCTTAGCTATGATCAGCTTCACGCTAGGACAGGGGTGGGGCATTGACATGCTTGGCCTTCCTCTCCCCCCCCCCTCCCCTCGTTGTTAGTGTTGTGCCAAAAGAAAACACAACCGCACAAAGGCGGCTTAGATGTCGATCATATCCCAGTTCGCCATGCGTGGGTGGATGTGGGTCGCGGATTCCCTAGTGTACCTTGCAGTTGAGAGTCTCTGCTGGGAATGGTTTTCCTTTTACGCCTGTTCGTTTGAGGAGCGGGCTTACCCTGAGTTACGTGCAGGTCGTCAAAATCACAAAGAATGGTTTTCAGGGGCCGGGGGTGTCTCTGCCTTGCAAGCAGGCTGCTCACCTGTTGCTTTTTTATATTAGGGGGCGGTTCCTCATCAGCAATTGTCTCGACACAATACTTGAAGCATCAACAGCCCGCTTTTCTACATTCAACACCACCACATCACGAGAGGAAATACTTGAATACTCTAACAACAACTACTACAACAACCCCACCTCTCTCCACCGCCACTCCTCAACCCTCAGCTTGTCTCCACAACACCCTCCAACGACGACATATATAAAACAAGTCTCTGTCCCCCCCCACAGTCTTGTTTTTCGAGTCCAGCAACCAACACATCACCATACACATACACCACCAAAGGCCCTCGATCGCCCAACACTACACCGCAAGCAGTCACCAGCACCCACGCTGCCAACCCTCTAGCGCAATCCCCCCCTTCCTCAATCCAACCCACCAAAGAAAAAAAGGCCGCCCGTGTCGATCCCACGCCTGCAAATAGCCCCGAATTAAGCGATCAAAAAATCTTTTTTTACCTTTTGCTCTCACACGACCTGAAAAATCAGCCAATCAATCAATCAATCAATCAACGAGACCAACCAACCAACCAACCAACCAAGTTATCAATCATGGCTCCTCGCACATGGACTGTTCTTCCTCCTTGCCCTGGTCCCCCACCAACACGTCCTCTGCCTCCGATCCCCTCATCATAAGACGTATTCAGCGGCACGGCCAAAGGGGTCCTTTATTATTCTTGTGTTTTATTTTCCCAATCCATCAATCGTTTTAAAGGGGACGATTGCGAATACGAGGCGATTATACCGGTAGCTGCCATGCTACAAACTCTGTTGATTCGTTTTTTTCTTTTTCTCTCTCTCTCTCTCTCTCTCTTATCTCGCTTTCTCTTCATCATTGCGATTTCTTCTATTCCTCTTTTTTTTTCTTTCATCTCCTCTTTTTTTTTGATTTGGGGGAGATCAATTTTTTTGGTACTTGGGAGAAAATGGTTTTATTTGTCCATTCTTCTTCTTCTTCTCCTCCTCCCCCTTCTCCTTCTATTTCTTCGTCTTTGATCCGCGACACGGATAAAGATCTTTTTTTTCACTCTTCTTCTTTTTCTTCTTCTTCTTCTTCTTTTTTTTGAGCAGGGGAAAAAAGCGCAGGCGAAGAATGGCAGCGCGATACTTGGTGTGCAGACAGACAGAGAGAGAGAGAGAGAAAGACAAGGCCCGAAACGAAAAAAAAGGGACAATGGAATTTACCGGTATGAGTGGTCTAGAACAACTCACGATACCCGAGTCCATTGTACACTTCCGCGGGAAAGAAAGACCAACCAACCAACAAAAAAAAACTCGAAACGCGAGTCCCTTTTTTTTTAATTCCCCTTTCCATTTCGGTAGAGAAATGCTGCTGAGACACGGGGAAGGTTTCGGCAAAAAGGGCACAGAAGAAGTCTACAGTATGGCCGAGGCCGTGGCGAAGAAGCAGGAGGAGGAGGAAGAGGAAGAGGAAGAGGAAAAAAAAGGGGGGTGATGGTTCAAGAGAGAGAGAAGGCATAGCTCCTCTCTCACGCCCCCTCCCTCCATGAATGAAGCCGAGTATCTATCAATATACCCAATCAAATTTTTCTTTTACCAAAGAGTTTTTCCCTTTGATGTTTTGAATTTGAAGTTTGTGAGCCAAGTAAATGCGGTGAGAGAGAGAGAGAGAGAGAGAGAGAGAGAGAGAGTGTGTGTGTGTGTGTGTGAGGTGCACAAGTATGCATGCAGGGTCTTGCATAAGAAGAAAGTAATCAAAGGTTAAAAATGCCTTGGTGTGTTCTCGCCATGACACGATGAGCTAGCTGTATGCTACGTACAACCACATGTACCCCAACGACACTTTTTTTTTTTACTTGTCTCCAGGGAACACAAGCCCATTGTCGTGCCTGACCTTTTGCATAACAGCCAGCGTATCTCTAGAGTGCTTCTCCAAGCGCGCCAAAGCCGCTGTATCCTTTTCTTCAATGCACCTCGCAAACTCTCTTGCCTCGTCGATCAAGTTGAGTTTCTCGGGCGCCTTGACGCCGGGTACATCTTGTCTTGTCTTATTCCGTGGGTCCCACAGGGTAACCTTGTCGATGTCGGTGATGGAGGGCACAATCAGGGTGCCGTTTTCTCCGTAAATCTCCGAGGGGGCGTCGGAGTTGTAAATCTTGGAGTGGCAGAGATGCACGGTAAAGGTGGGGTATGTCAGGATCAAGCGGCCGCCGCCATCGGCGCCCGTGGCAATCTTGACGGGCCAGTAGTGCGAGTCGATGGGGGCGCCGAAGAGGTCCACGGCAGCAGCGACGCAGTAGACGCCAAGATCGACGAGGGCCCCGCCGCCCATTTCGAGGTTGAAGATGTTGGGCACCTCGCCCTGCAGCACTTTTTCGTAGCGGCTGCTGTACTGGGCAAAGGTAATCGAGGCGCCGTACAGAGGGCCCAGATCGGCCATCTTGTGCTTCAACAGCTTGAAGTTTGCTTCTTGGATGTGGCGGAACGCCTCGACAAGGATGACGTTTTTTTCTTTTGCAAGGGCAAAGAGGTCGTCGAGTTCGCCAACGGTGCTGCAGCTGGGTTTCTCGAGGATGACGTTTTTGCCTGCTCCGAGGAAGAGCTTAGCTTGTTCATAGTGCAGGATGTTGGGACTGGCAATGTAGATGGTGTCGATCTTGTCACTGTTGGCGAGGGCGTCGAGCAGGGTAAAGGTGGTGATTTGGTTGCCGGCGTACTTGGATGCAAATTCCTTTGCCGTTTCTTCTTTCCGAGAGTAGACGGCTGTGAGGGTGTATTTGCCTGTTGCGTGAGCGGCCTCGACAAATGAGTGGGTGATCCAGTTGGTTCCAATGATTCCGAGGTTGATCATCTTGGCAGCTGTGGTGAGTACGGTTGATGCAAAGGCCAAGCAAGTATGAGCCTGGATGAGCCTGGAGCAGAGAATATATGGAATCCGATTGCTATGTCAGCACTCCAGACTTTTCGTTGTTGAGTGTCTTAGTACTTGAGGGGCAGTCGTGTCCGACAGGCCACCCCACTAGAGCAGGCCGACAGCATGTGATGTCATTGGCCGACTGTTGGAGCTTCCCAAAGGGGAAGTAGCCCGTCAAAAATGTCAACTTGCCACATGGATGCTTTTCACAAACGCCAGTGTTTCTAGTTGCATTGCCAAGATGTTGCGCATGTGCAATGATTTGACTAACTAGTTCAATTGCTACATGTGTAACCAGCGCTCCTGCCAAGGAGGGTATCATCTGTTGACGGCTGTCTCGTATCGTGAAGACGTATCATACTACATATGTGAGACCCACTTCGCAGCTCCATTCCGTTGATTGAAACGAGCCCTCGTGGGACGTTGGGCGATCGTAATGTCAAAAGCAAAAAAGTAAAAAAAATGCAGATCAGTCGAGTCGTACCTGGCACAAGACTCGGTGAATCGACTCCCAAACTCCACGCGCTGGTTAAATGAGTGAGTTGGAAATGCAATAAAAAAACACCGCTTGTGATAACGCCACCCAATCCTTGGTAATATGCTGTTGTGATGATCAGTCCTCCCAAATGGTCTCCAGGTCCAAGTCTCCTCGTCGCTCGGCTCCGCAGACACTCCATCTTTTTCTGGAGTCTCGCTTGCCAAAGTTCATGCTGCGGCCACGGCCTTCGGGGGCGTCCAAGCTGGACCTCCTTGGCTCGCCGCCATCCTCACGATCGGCTGCGGCCTTGAGTCTGGCAATGCGGTCGGCCTCTATTGCTTCTTCCTCTGCGTCTGGACTGTCTTCGATGGTTTCGAGAGACGAGATGGAGGGACTGCGAGAGCGCATCGACGTGGGAGTCGAGGGCACCGACGAGGATGCAAGCGAGGCGGGATAGTTTTCGTTGAACCTGGCTGGAGCAAAGAGAGGCGAAGAGGCTGCCGAGGTGGGTGTGCTGGCCGAGGGGTTGCTGGTAGGCGGCGCACCAAATGGGATGGAGACGTGGTGAAGAGGCGAAGCTGGGCGTCGGCGCCTCGAGAGCGAGCCGGTGCTGTTGCTGTACAGGTTGGACAGGGCGGTGCCGACTCGGGGGGTGAGCTCTAGCTCTGCATCCTCGGATATGTCGCACACACGGGGGGCGCCATCGAAGGAGCCCATGGAAACCGGTCGCATGGCGGAACCATAGCGCTCGGGAGCTCCGACGGGGTGCGGGCGTGGCTCGGGCGCGCGTGGACTGCGGGCATGCTTGGGGGATCGCAGGGGCGAGCCTGGCGTGGTGAGCGGCGCTGGGCTTGGGGGAAGCATGAGGCTGCTCGTGGGTTGCATGACGGTGGGTAGCGAGTGGGCTCGTGCCATGGGAGGTGCACTGGGAATGCCGGATCCGCTGCGTGAACGAAGGTGAGAGCGCATGTAGGGCAATGTGTTGGAGGGCCGCGAGGCGAGAGAAACGAGCGTGTCGGGCTGGGGGTCGGTCTGCGCGCGGGGCGTCGAGGGCCGGCGCGAGGTGGTGGCGGCGTCCTTGGTGTTGGCCAGCTGGCGGGCGAGGGTGGTGCTTTCTCCCATGGTGGTGGTGGTGGTGGTCGAGGGGGATGGCGCGTCGGGGGGGTCGGGGGGGTCGAGGTGGGCGAGGTGGGCGTCGGGAGCTTGGGCAGCGGGGAGAGGCTTCACGGGGCGCGGCAGAGGCAGAGGCAGAGGCAGAGGCAGCGGCAGCGGGTCGTCGTGATGGTCGTGGTGTTGAGGGAGGGTTGCCGGGGGCGGCGGCTGGGGGCGAGCTGGGGCAGTCATGGCGGCGGCCTGCGCATATACATAGTCTATCGCGAAGGCCTCTTTGGCGGCGGCGGCGAGACTAGGAGGGCAGGGGGTCGTGCGGTGCGCGTGTCGTTCTGGGCCGTGTGCCAACCGCTCGACGCACGAAGCACCTTGCGGCGTTTCAGCCGCCCGCAACTGGGCTTTGTCGACGCGGTGAGTGGGCGGCGGCGGGGTGGTTGTTTGGAGCGCGGCCGGTCACATGTGCGGGCGACACACAGCAGCGAGGGGGAGGGGCGCGGGTGATGGAGCTGCGACGGTTGGAGCAGCACACGAGAAGGCTCGCGATGCTGCTGCGCCCATTGTCCCTCCAGAGGCCCGGCGGCGCCCTGGGGCGGAGGGCCCGGCTGGGCGTTGGTACCTGCCGCCAGGGCCGCCGCCAGCGAATCTGGGGCAGGCGCGACCGCCTGTGCTTGCACTCGCGTCGCTGCTGCCGTTTCTGTGCCGGTGCCTGCCTGCGCCTGTCTGTCGCTGCTGCTGTTTCTGTCGCCGTGTCAGGTCCAGCCGAGCGCCCTCTGTCGCCCGTGTCGCGGCCTGCACACACACACACACACACACGGCAGCCAGCGGCATGCCATAGACGGGTTAATGTACACAGCTACTAATGGCATGTCATTGCTCATCCTTCACGTCACCGCCCTCGTGTGTGCAGGCCGCCACGATGCCGGCCCCCCCCCCAGCCCAGACGGACCCTGAGCGTGTGCCTGCATGCTGACTAGCCCAACGTCTGCCTGCGCCGACGGGCCAATCACGCCTCGCCGCCGCGCCCATGCTGCCCGCTGCCCGTGGCCCGGCCAATCTGGTCGCATTGTGGTCGATAGATTGCTTGCATGAGCTGCTATGCCGACCATCTGGCACACGCACACACACACTCAATCGTCTACATGCGCAGCTCCAGCTCCGTCGCCACGCCTCAAAGCCCCGGTTTCACCACTCCCTCTCCGTCTGTTCTTCCTTCTTGGCCCTTTGTTCCGCCCCCCGACGCTGCCTGCACTTGTGCACCTCTTCTCCACCCGCCGCCATGGCCCTCCGCTGCCTCTCTCCCTCCTAGTTGGACGGCCCGACTGGCCGCATCCACGTCGTTCCCGGCGGTGTAGCACCACTGTACGTAATGTCCTCATCCTTTCACTCGGCCATCCGCCCAATGCCCTCGCCTTCTCCTGAACCCTATCAACACGGGGCCAACGCCAGCTTCTGCTAGCCTCGCTCCGTGGCCACGGCGTCCGATAGTCACCGTGGTGCATCTCGGGCTAGTCAGGTAGCGCGGTTCCCTGCCGCCCTATTTTGGGCCCTAGCGTCGACGCCCTCGACAGACTTCCATGCTGACTGCGACGTCGAGCTCGACTCTGGGTCTGCCTCGAGCTCCCTGCTCTCCTCGCTCGCTGCCAATGCAAACAATCTGCATTGCCTCTGGCGGCATAAATCTTGCTGCTCCAACCTACCATGTCGCCGATATAGCCATTCCTCGAGTCATCTTCCTCCCCATCATCAACACAATGCGGGCCCCCCGTGTTATGCAAACCGCTCCATGCTGAACTTGCGGGGTGAGATTGCGATCGACTGGCTGCTCGTCCCGTCTGAGGATATATGTACACGGAGCGATAGCACGCTAATACAATTGGGCACAGTGGCCTTGGTACTAGATCGCCTCACCTCGTCCATCCGGGGCCGCTATCTACTGTATAACACAGCCAGCCGGTCCGATCGCATTTCCAACTTGTTTACACAGAGCTCCTGACCCTCGCGTGCATTCGCCGACGCATACACGGATTCATGCACTAAGCTTGGCTGCAGTGCTCGCGCACTCTAGCACCAACAAGCAGCTTTTCAAATGCCCCAGTGACTCGGTATACACCGACAAGTCGTCGTTGACCAGAGTCACCCACCGGCACAGACTGGAATGAACATCTGGCAACCAAAGACGCCTGCCTGCGGAAAGCTTTCTCGATTGGGTCATGCAGGCTGGGGACGCACTTAGCGAGATGCCCGAATGCGCTAGCACCGATTAGACGCGGGGAAAACCTCGGCACGGGGTGAAATGCAACATCGCGTTACCGGACTAAAGCAACAGCGAAAAGCTAGCTGTGGACGGCTTCTTGCCAGGTTCGTCGTGCTTACCCCGCTGGAGGTCCCGCATTGCTCAACCGACTATCAACCCGACCGTGCTCGTCCGTGATTGATTTTTTTTGTCAATCACCCAATGACTGAAGAGGAAGGATACCTCATTCGGTCTGTTCCTGTGTTCTGGCCGTGCTCATTGGTCTTTTTTCTCAATCACCCACCCACTCAAGAGGCAAGATACCTCATCCGGTCTGTCCGTGTTATGGCATATTTCCTCTTGTTGCATGGTAGCCCGACACTAGATATGTGCAATGACGACGGCCAGGGCTCGTACTCACCACATCCCCGCTGCCCGAATGGCACGCCTCATAGCCGGCGGTGAGGTATATAAGAAGCGCGTGTAATGCCATTGAAGTGTACAAAGCTGCCTTTTGTCGCCATCATGAGACGTCACGCTCTTCTGGCCTGTGGCTCTGTAGCTCTTGCCCAGCAAGTCTACATCCCCGCTCAAGGACCCGTCGCACGCCCACAATGCCCTGCCAACAATACCTATGCAACTGCGCTTCCTACCTATACCTTTCGGGAATTCAGCTTCACCCAGACCGAAACCGTCCGTACAGCAACCTCGATCCCCGCACCCACGACCACGACTACTTATGCGCCACCCTATCCATCGCTTAGCAGCTTAGTGCCTGATCTGACAACAACGCAATGGGGTAACTGGTATCCTGCATCCAATGCCACGGTCACTGCAGCTCCCACCGACTCCGCCAATCCATATGGAAATGCGTCTTGGTCGGCTCTTTGGAACACCGTTCCCTGGGTCAACTTCACCCGAGGCATCTACTCTACCACCGTCGCCCCAACCCCCATCCCCACCAGCGAGCTTCTCCTCCCTCCTCCCGAGCCGCTGCTTCCTCAGCAATGCTACGATTTCCCGGCCGACTTTATGCTCGGGGTCGCCGCATCAGCCGTCCAAATTGAAGGCGCCATTGCCGATGAAGGGCGAACGCCAGCTCACAATGACGTCGGTAGCATAGTTAGACCTGGCCCGGCCAACAACTGGCAGGCCATCGAAAACTACTATCTCTACAAGCAAGATATCGAGCGTATTGCGGCCATGGGCGTAAAGTACTACCGATTCTCCATCCCATGGACACGCATCCTTCCTTTTGTACTCCCCGGTACACCAGTCAACGCTCAAGGTCTCGCGCATTACGACGAGCTCATCAACTTCGTTCTGGACAAGGGAATGCTTCCCGCCATTGTCCTGTACCACAACGACAGCCCTTTGCAATTCTTTTCCAACATCAGCGACATTTTCATTACTCCGGGTACAGGTGGTATTGGTTACCTGAACTCGTGCTTCCAATGTAGCTACAAGAATGTTACCTGGGAAGATGCCTTTGTGAACTACGGAAAGATTGTCATGACGCACTTTGCCGACCGCGTGCCCATCTGGTGGTCTTACAACGAGCCTCTCCTTGGCCTCAAAAATGGAAAGTCGGCTGACTCCGTCATCAAATCCCACGCAAGACTCTACCACTTCTACAAGGAGGAAATCGGCGGAAAGGGCAAAATGTCAATCACCCTCAACGACAACTTTGGTGTTCCACGCAATCCAAAAGACCCCGCTGATGTCGACGCTGCCAATCACTTCAACGAATTCCAACTGGGCACCTTTGCCAACCCAATTTTCCTCGGAAAAGACTACCCAGAAGCCTTTAAAAGCAGTATAGCCGATTACGTACCGTTGACTGAGGAAGATCTGCGATACATCAATGGCACCGCCGACTTCTTCTCTATCCAGCCCTATACCGCCACCATTGTGAGCCCACCACCCAACGACACTATTGCGGATTGCGCTGCCAACATCTCTCACCCACTACGCCCGTATTGCGTCACCCAGAGTCAGACCACGACTACCGGCTGGAACTTTGGATACCGGAGTCAGTCGTACGTCTACCTCACGCCCAGCTACTTCCGCACCTACCTCAACTACCTCTGGAACACATGGCGCACGCCCGTCGCTGTGACTGAATTCGGATTCCCTGTGTTTGCCGAAGCGCAGAAAACGCAAGCAGACCAGGAGTTTGACAGCCCCCGAAGCTGGTACTACCAAACCTATCTCAACGAAGGGCTCAAGGCCATCTGGGAAGACGGCGTCAAGTTCATCGGTGCTTTTGCATGGTCTTGGGCCGACAACTGGGAATTCGGCGACTACGACCAGCACTTTGGCATTCAGACGGTTAATCGCACAACCATGGTACGCAGATACAAGAAGAGTTTCTTCGACTATGTCGACTTTGTTGAGAGCAGGAGGCAGAAGGCGTAGATTGGTCGACTCTCCGCTGTATGTTATAGAACCCTTGACGTAAATAATGAACAGTTCATGTCCAACAAATGTACATCCATGTCTCCACGAACATCCGTCTTGTTGAATTCGACTAATGAATTCTAATCTTATCCATCTTTTTCTTTTTTGTTTTTCACTTTTACTGAATACCCCTTGCATATATCCACCTCACCTTTGCCACACGCCCGCAGACCCATGAAAAGCTACCCAGCAGCACCCTTGCAGACGAAACAGACAAAAGTCCAAGCTACAAATTACTAACTTTCAGATACTCATTGCAACAACTAAAGTGCTACGGTACGCAGTGCTATCCGCTAACGCATGCCCCAGATATGTCGGCTATGCAGCTAATATCAATATGCATATTTACTGCCTTACTTTAGTGCCCCCACCCCCCATCCTTGTTATCGCATTGCCAGGCTTCGATTAAATAGCCGCTCTTTAGTCATCGCAGGTTGAGCTCGCTGACAAATGCATGGCCTGTATCTCTATACAACCTTATTATTATCATTATTATTGTTATTATTATTATTATTTTCTCGCCTATTGAATCCCTCGTATATCGGAGCCAATCTCCATTGGGAAATATTTCCATGTCGATAGTACGACATGGATAATAAAAGCTGGCCTGGCTTGTCCAGAAGCTTCTAACTACTAGCATGTTTGGTCGTTGTAAAACCTACAACAGGATTGAAACAATGCCCCCGCGCAACATGTGTTTGCTCAATCTCCCGATTCCCAGTCGCATGCAAGCTGGGAGATGGGTGGAGCCGCGCGTGCATCACCATATACATACATATGCCTCCCAGAGACCTCAGCAGATACTTACACCCAGGACCAAACCGCACGGAACAATCTTTTGATTTTTCAGCAAAAAAACGCGCTATGCAGCTACTGCTGGCTACACCGCCAAAAGCTTCACAGAATTAAGAAACCAAAAAAAACAAAAACAAAAACAAAACCAGAGACATTGGTAATGTCCGCACAGAATAGGCGTCGTCGCATCTTCGCGTACAGACGTCCACACCTTTCGGCACGTCGCCTTGGGCTGTGATTGGGCCGGCCATGTCAAACTACATTGTCAGGCGCACCAGCTTGGTAATCCAGGCACCAGCTGTGGAACTATGCGATTCCCACACATTCCCGCATCGAGTTAGCATGCTGCAGATGTGACTGTTGCGACGTGTTGTGCTGTCGTTGTGGCTGGCAGTGGGCAGATATGGGGAGATGAAGAGAGAGAGAGAAACTGACAGGTATATAAAAACTGTATCTACCCATGATTATATCTCCACCGCAGCAACGACTCCAAAAAGCCTTCTCTTCTTGACAGTGACACTCCAGCTTCTCAACCCCCCCCCCCCCCCCCCTTCCTCAAATACCACCACATCTTCGATTCCCCCAAAGCCCCCCCCCCCCCCCAAGCAAGCATGTCTCTAACCTTCCACGCCATCGCCATCGCGCCCGCCATCTCGGCGCTGAAAAACGCCCACGCCTTCATCTCCAAAGGCCACCAGCACGCCCTCGCCAACAACATCGACCCAGAAACCTACTTGGCCGCCTCCCTGCACCCGGACATGAAGGACTTTCGCTTCCAAATCTACCGCGCCACCGACGCAATCAAGTTTGTGCCGCCGCGCATCAACCCCGCGCTCCAGGACATGACGCTGCCGGATGAGGAGAAGACGTTTGAAGAGCTGCTTGCGCGGATTGAAAAGACAATCAAGTACCTCGAGGGCTTTTCCGTGCAGGATTTCGAGGGCACCGAGGGGAACGAGGTGGTGCTTAAGTTGGCGGCTATGGGCAAGCAGATACGGTCGCCGGCGCTCGAGTATGTGGTTAGGTTTGCGCATCCGAATATGTGGTGAGTATTTGCCATGATGGAATACCCTGTTCTTGTTTTTTTTTCTTCTTCTTCTTCTTCTTCTTCTTGCATTTTTGGCTTTGTTTACTGATGAGATGCTAGGTTCCACCTTGTGACTGCGTATGATATCCTGAGGATGAAGGGCGTGGACGTGGGCAAGTTTGACTTTTTGAACGGCGCGAAATCGTTTGTGGTTGAGGATTTGCAGCAGCAGCAGCAGCAGCAGCAGTAGTAGTAGTAGTAGTAGTAGTAGTAGTAGTAGTAGTAGTAGTAGTAGTAGTAGTGTAAGTAGTTAGATGGAAAGCTGGGACATGAATGGATGCATCGATTCAGTTCCAGCTTCTGGAAAAGGGACTTGACGTCGGCTTATCGACTCGTGGATTCGCCCGTCTAAATAATTAAATACAATTTCTTCATTGTTAAATCAGGTTTTCACCGTCACGGCTCTCGTTGAGAACGGAAAGAGAAATAAACATTCGTTCGGTTGAATTACTTCGTAACAGCTGCACCAAGAAGTGCCTCCATAGCACTACTCTGCATTGCAGCATTGACAGGATCCACAAATGGTCCGGCCCAGTGAACACTGAAAAACGACGAGCCCCCTTGTACCTTTCTGTCATTTGCCCAGACAGACTGAGCGTTGGTGCTAAAAGCTTTCACGTAAGCTGGATCTGGAGCGACGGCATTGAGCTGCGCAAGATTACGCATAAAGATGCCTTTGAACTGCGCGCCATCGGCACCACAGTTTGGCTCGCAGGCATCGTGGATAACACCGTTGGAGTCAGCAAGCTTGGTAATAGCAGCCTTGGCAATCATGTTTGCCTGCGTAATGTGATTGGTGTTGGAGGCCGGGTCGGCGCGCCCGAGTTCGACGAGGCCACCGAGGATCACACCTTGGTTGTAGGACCAGACGGTCTGGCCGTTGTTCTCGCACTTGTTGGTCAAGCCATCGTTGATGTTTCCATTGCTGTTCAGCATGCCGCTTGCGAGAAACCAGTTGAGGCTCTTGTTGGCCCAGTCCACGTACTGCTGTTTCGAACTAGCACGGTTGGCTAGGTGTGCTGCTGTGCTGAAAAAGAGCTCGTTGGCAATGGCGTTGACATAGTCTTTCTGAATGCTCCAGTATATGCCGCCGTTCGAACAGTTTGTACCCCAAGTCTTCGCTACCGCAAGAAAGATGCCCTCGGCAAGATTGAGATACTCGGTTTGCTGCGTAACATCATATGCGTTGATCCAGGCCAGCGCCCACCAGAGGTCGTCGTCATAAAAACCATCAAGCCAGTCATTTGCGTTTCCAGTAGCGCGTTTAGTATTTGCCCGGGCGACGTTCGTGCTCTCCTTGTTCCATGATGGTGGGAGCACACTATGGGGCTCAAAGGTGTTCGGATCCAGGTACTTGAAATAACGGTCCCCTATGGGTGGCACACCTGCAGATGCCGTGTTTCCGATAAAACCTTGTTCAGATCCGGTATTTTGAGTGTTCGCGGTGCTTGTTTGTAGTTTTTCGGCACCGGGCGTAGGATTCTTTACTGGCGCATCTTTAAAGGCAATGGAGAATATGGACCTCGACATTTCTTGTTGCGTGGCATCCGAAGGAAATGCTTTTGCGTAGTCGCCAAAGATAGTGACAATGTTGGCCCCATTCCACCATCCTGTGGACTCCCAGAGCCCAGTGGTGTCGTTGTACCATGTCTGTAGGCCTGGGATAGCGAGCTTAGCGCGCGCCACTGGGTCGCTACTATCATTCTGGTCGCTTTCTGCGGCGTTAGAAGTAGCAATAAACGTAAAAAACAAAGAAGACAAGCAAAATATTGGAAACATAGTGGGAGAAGGAGTAAAGTCTGGTGGCTAAAAAAGCTGGCCAAAGGTTGTGTTGATAGTGCATTGTAACTTTATTGAGAAAAAAGAAGGCGCCAAGTTTGTAAAAGCATACAAGAAGAATTGCCTCAAAAGGGGTTATTGTGGTTGCACGACGGCAATGCGACAACTATTGAATCGTCTGTTGGTTGCCGGGGCCCCTTTGCAGGCACCAAAATAGCGCTCAGGCAGAGCATGTAGCAAGCCTCCACAGTCGTTTGAAAGAAGATCGCCAAAGGTTAAAAGGAAAAAAAAATCCAAACTTACCTTTCAGACACACTGACAGGCACTTGAAAGTTCGAGCCAAGATAGTGTCGTCTTGGTGATACGGCGTTCGCGGAGGGTTGCAGTTGTTTGGGAGATGGCCATTTGGTGTGCGAGGATGCAGGATGGGCGAGGGCGTTTGGAAGAAGTAGCGCTGTAGCAACGAGTAAGGCGGACATGTTGGAAATGGTGTTTTAAAATTGCTAAGTGGGCCAACGCTTTCAACGAATGCGCTGCGACCTAAGTAGGGCGCCAGGAACTTCCCTGGTCTGTCTATCAGATGGCACATGCAACACCAAAACCTATATTCAGGTGTGGCACGCGACGTTGCGGTGAGCCTGAGGGCCTTCGTTATATCTACCCCGCTACGCATCGTATAGGGATCCTCGGGGCGATCCGCTAGCTCAGCACTGGCCCGAATCGGCAAAGCGCATTTTGACTTTCGAGATCGACCGGCGCCGGCAGCGTCCCCCTGAACAATGGGGTTGCGGTTCTCCGCATGCGGTAGGTTCTGGGGTAGGTATGGTGGTGTGGGCTCTGGTATGTTTCGTCCTGGAGGTTACATAAGGCACTGGCACGAGGACCGCTCTTCGCTGTCACCCAAGTCCTTTGATCGCAACATATAGACGCCCCGCTGCAACCTCGGCAGTCAACACCAGCAGATTCTCGTCTTCTGACAGCACAATGACTGGGATATTTAAGCGATTAAGATGTCGTGACCCAAGTCTTTGAGCTCCTCCACCCAACAGTTGCCTCCACCTGGCTCAGCTTCGTCTTTGAGCTTCCAGATTGCTTCTAGCACGCGCTTTGATGTATGCAGGTAACCCCAGAACATGAGACTGTACAGCTTGTCGAGTGTGTTCATGATCCACTCGCGCTGGGTAGGGTCTTCTGATTCTGCGCCGGCCAAAAACAGCGGCCAACAAATCGACTTGAACAGCGGATCGCTGGGTTCGAGGTGGGAGATATGATGGACGACATCGTCAGCCAGAGCTGTGAGACTGACGAGTGCGCTGCCACTGGCTGGATCAAGAAGAGGGTTCGTAGAGGGTAGTACGCGTGCGAGGTAGATGCATACTGCTGAGCGATGTGCCGATGCGATACGGATGCGTTGTTGAATGTCCTCGAAGGGGGATGCACGCTCGAACGCGTGTGACCATGCAATCGGGTCAAAGTCTAGAGCACGCTGGAGCAAGGCGCCCACTTGGCTCTCAATGTCAATGGGAGTGCTAGCATCCGAAGGAGACGCTTGAGTGTCGGGCAGCGCAAAAGACTCGAGCATGATTCGAAGCAGCGGTCCAGGACACGAGAGGTAATTATTCGTCTCGGCGTAACGCAGAATCGGATCTAGCTCAATCGTGTCTGGAATCAGAGCAGGGAGTGTGGTGAAGCTGAAGGTCGACCCGAGAATGTAAAACACCAGCAAGTCCGAGAGTACTGTCTGCCTGAGTTTACTCATCGGACGCTGGAGAAATGGCGGCTCGCCGAGAAGTTTAATGAGCTTGAGAGCCCCGTCCATGTGGACCTTCCATTTGTCGCGTCCGGATTCCACGAGCGCATAATTGACAAACAACAGAATCGTCATCAAGATCAGGTCAATATTGGCAGCATTCACCGAAGCCACGCTCTTTGCGAGCAACGATAGCGCGTGCTGTTTTGCCACCAAGGCATCTCTGTACGAGGACTTCAGCGGCCCCCCAAAGCGGCTTACGGCTTGGTAGTAGGCTTGGACGGTCGGACTCAGATGACCCTGGTAAGATGACTGCCCCATGGGGTTACGGGTGATGTTGAAGACATGAAAGGCCGAGTTGGCGACAATGATATGCAAGAGCAGCGGGTAGGCAGCTGTCGCCGGAATGAGATCACGGATAGGATTCTGGCCGGGCACGTCGTACAGCACCATGACCTCGCATAGCTGCGTTGCGAAATGGTACAGGTAATATCGCGAGTTGCGGTCGAGGTCGTTGACCAGTGGGTCTGTCAGTGCTCGGTGCACGTCAGAAACTAGAGGCAAGCTCTGAACCTCTTCTTGACCGGGCATACGGCAGACGGCTACTGCCGACTGGCCGGATACGGTTTCGTAGCTGTCAAGCGATTGTGGCTGCGACTGTGGTTGTTCTTGTTGGTAGGTGTAATGCTGCTGCGAAGGACCTTGGTTGTCCCACACCAGGGCCGACATGTCCTGAGTCTTGGCTGCCGCTTCAGTCGTCCCCGCCTCGGCAAGACGATGGGGCACCATCTTGTCTTCATAGCCCTTCCCCATCATCTTCCCCCGACTGGCGACGCCGCGGTTCCAGACAAACAGCTTTCCGTAGCCCAGACATTCCGTGCCCGCCGACAGGCATTTCTGGCAGCTTGGTAGTGACCGGTCGCATCTCCAGCGGCGCCTGCGGCAGTTGTGGCAGGCTTTGGTCGGCAGGTTGAAGTGCGTTGCGCTCATTGGGTGGAAGCCATGCGAGATGTGCTGATGGTTGACTGTATTGAGCTGCGCAGAGCACGGTGGGTGGTGGAGATGTTCTACTTGAGGCGCGCTGTGGCGGGTGGAGCGCTGGCACTGGGATGGACGATGGGGCTAACCGATTTGGGCATGGCGCGGGCGCGGCGTATAGTTATTGCTGCCGTCGACAAGTTGCAGCGAGAAACTTATGCCAACAAGGCAGGGCGACGCGGCCGCCGACAAATGCCATCTGACAAAGACACCGCTTGGCAGCTAGCCTGCAAACAGCAGCCAAGACGCACTCTCTGCGCCTGAGGTCCACTCCGTGACGGCCTCTTGTTCTAACGTCATTGCCGCCACCGAGTACCGGCCTGCACTTTACACTACCTTTCAGTTTTGCATCTGTTAAAATGCATTCTATTACACATAGCTATGCTGCTGGCTATATGTTCGGACACCGGATGCCGCCATAGAAAAGGAGAGAGGTTCCAGCCAGAGTAACAGTCCTGCATGCAGACAGCCCTTTGCCACTGGGCCATCCATTTCCACAAATAACCACATACCTTGGAAGGAAGTTTCACGAGTCAAGCATATCATGGAGCACACCAATCCCAGGCCCAAAGTCCCTATCTCAAGTGATAACACACCACCATCTGGCCTAGCAGCAACACCAGAGAAAGCCGAGGAAGGCATCACTGGCCCACCCCGTCGAGTTTCATACACGCCCTCCGACATTGAGCGTCTGGGTCGCGAGCGCCCACCATACTTCCACTCTTTTGCCCATGAGCTAGGCTTCTGCTTTGCCCTTCTGGGCTCCATGTTCGTCAGCGAGTACATGATCTCTGGCTTCAACATCCTCCTGCCCCAGCTCTCGCGAGACCTCAAGATTCCCTCGACCGCGCAAACATGGCCGGCGTCTGTCTTTTCTCTCGTCACAGGAGCGTTTCTCCTGCCCTTTGGCAGACTGGCAGACATGTTCGGAGGCTATCGAGTCTTCAACCTTGGCATTGCTTGGTTCATCATCTGGGCCGTCATTGCAGGCTTCTCTCAAAACTACCTCATGCTGATTATCTGTCGAGCGCTTCAAGGATTTGGCCCTGCTGCCTTCCTGCCGTCGGGCATCATGCTGCTCGGATCCATCTATCGTCCTGGTCCCAGAAAGAACCTTGTCTTCAGCTTGTACGGCGCGTTTGCACCTGTCGGTTTCTTCACGGGAATCTTTTTCGCCGGTGTTACTGCGCAGTACACCACTTGGGGCTGGTTTTTCTGGATCGGTGCCATCATCCTCGCCATGGTTGCCGTGGCATCGTATTTCTGCATTCCCAACTTTGCGGAGGACCAAGGACAGGCGAGTGAAAAAGGCAAAGTGGTCAAGATGGATTGGTGGGGCACGGCCACAGTAGTTCCAGGTCTCATCTTGGTCGTCTTTGCTCTGACAGACGGAAGCCATGCAACAAATGGGTGGGCAACTCCATATATTCCAGTCACCTTTATCTTGGGGTGGCTCTTCCTCGGTGCATTCCTCTACGTCGAGGCGCGTGTGGCCGAGCAGCCTCTCCTCCCGGCCGACCTATTCAAGGTCAAGGGCATGATACCTCTTACACTCGCCCTCTTTTTCCAATATGGAAACTTTGGAATCTTCATCTTCTACGCCAGCTTTTACATTGCACAGGTTGTTGGCACAAGCCCGCTTCTTACCGCCGCGTGGTTCACGCCCATGTGCATTGGTGGGCTGATCTTGGCAACTGTTGGGGGACTAGTGCTGCACCTCTTGCCGGGCCGCATATTGCTTCTCGTCAGTGGGACGGCATATGTCCTCAGCACTCTCCTGTTCGCCATCATCCCGGTGAAATTCAACTACTGGGCCTACATATTTCCCGCCATGATCTGCGCTACCCTCGGAATTGACATCACCTATAACGTCAGCAACATCTTCATCACAACCTCGCTACCAAAGGCACGCCAGGGTCTCGCCGGTTCCTTTATGAATTCTATTCTCTTCCTCGGTATCGCATTCTTCTTGTCCTTTGCTGACCTGGCAGTAAGCCAGACAGAACACAAGGGTCAGAGGTACAGCTACAAAATCGCCTTCTGGCTTGCCACGGCGCAGGCAGGTGCGGGCCTCATCCTCATGTTTGTGGGGGTCAAGATTGGTAAAGCAAAGAGCGAGTTGACCATTGAAGAGAGGGAAGATCTGGAAAAAGAATTAGCTCAGACAAGAGCTGACGAGTAATGTATCTGTTGTTTGTTGATATACGGTGATAGAATAATAGCAATAGTCGCCCTCAGTACAATGGCATGGCACAAATCTTCATTGACTTCTGTTCGTGTTATTCCAACGGAACATGCTTACCCACACTTGTTGACGTATTTGATTACAAGACTGAGATGTGTCATTCCTTGGGTCAGGACTTCCTGCATCTTGTCAGACCACGAAAGAGGCTGACTTGGCTGCATCACTTTCCGCATTACCTGCTTCCCTCAGCGAATATTTTGATTTTTTATCCTTTTTTCCGAATACATGTCCGTATCCGCTTCTGTCGTGCTAAGATCTATATAACAAGATTGAGCGATTTTCCCGAGAAAGAGTGAGTACATATTAGCAAATGGCTAGGACAACCGTCTTGGTCCGTTCATTTCAGAAAGTCACCTCCAGTCTTCGCAAGTATTTCATCGTAGTAGCTCTGGAAGGCCAGCCATCCCTTCTCGGGTGTTCCTACTTGTTTGTATGTTTCGGCTGCTTCGCTGTCGGGTATGATCTTGGGTTTATGCCCACTACCAGCGGCAGCTGCGCCCACGAGAAGCTGGGCCTGACACGTCTTGTCGAGCGAGAGAAACCAAAAAGCTGCCTCGTCGACTGATTTGCCTACGGTAAGTATGCCATGGTTTTGGAGGATAGCTGCTTTTCCGTCGCCTACCCGATGTTAGTGGTGCTAGCAATACGATTTATAAGCCCATACCCAGCGCATCAGCGATTCGCTCGCCTTCTTCATTTATCAACACCATGCCACCGAATTGGTTATAGACTCCGTGGCTCTTGTAAAAGCGTACACTGTCCTGGGTAATCATGTCGAGCTCTCTGCCAAAAGCACTGAATGCTTTACCATGCACGCTATGAGCATGGCATGCAGCATGTACCTCTGGTCGCCGCTTGTGGATTGCGCTGTGAATGGCAAACGCAGCGGCGTTGATGGGCTGGTCTCCCTCAACTACCTCGCCCTCTTCGTTCACTAGAATCAAGTCTGAGACGCGTATCAAAGAGAAGTGCGTGGAGAGTGGGTTTAGCCAGAAATGGTCAGTCAGAATAGGGTCGCGCACACTGATGTGGCCCGCAACTCCCTCGTCGAAGCCGCGGGCAGCAAAGATGCGATAGGCGGCAGCGAGGTGCTGCTTGCGGTATAGGCGCTCATCTTCGAGGTTGGTAAAAGTTGGATATTTTCGTATTTTGAGTGCTTTGCCTGCTTTGGTACGACCCATGGCGGCTACCATCTGGTTCTCCACTTCCTCGGCATGGTCAACACGTACACCTGTCGCGACTGATGCACCACGCGCATTCGAAGCGGTGAGCAATGTCCGACTTGAAGACATCGTAAAACTTCCAGGGCGAGGCCATGATGGCCTAATTGCTCGGTTCAGTGATTGAGGAAGAAAACGGGCAGTAAACATTGTGCGTGCTGTGGATCAGTGGCTGGTGGTGAGGATGTGATGACCTCGGTCTGGGACGTGAGAAGAGGGCAAGTAAGTAAGCTCCCCGCCGGAGATAAGTAAGATGGTCGGACATAGCAATCAAGCATGCTCATACGGCATTGGGGGACGGCAATTTGACATTCCATAAATATGGTAACGTACAGCCTCATATCTGAGCTTCGTCAGCACTTGGACGCGTTTTCCTGGTTATTCGTTCTGTTCGTCTGCCTGGCTGCTGTTCATCACTCCTTTCCAAGTGACGATGAGCCATGAGAAGCTATGTGCTTCTACATAAGCAAAGACATGAACATCCACATTACAAGCAATAATTGCTTATTTGGTATGCCAGCGCTGCCAGTGTGAACTTGAGTGTCAACTTACATACGCCTATTCGATATCAATCATTTGGTGTGCGTAGACTACGCTTCTCCCTTCACCCATTTTGTCGGTGCCGCATTTGGTCTAATCGCGCCTTCCTTCACATCACCACAGCGCCCCACTATTTCACGCGTGTTTGTTTGATCTTTTAGCTTTCACTCCCATTTATAGCCAATCGCTCGCCTCTCCTACCTCTGCCTCACCTCTCCCATACCTACATATGTAAACCCCACCTCCCCGACTTTGCCTCTTTCCACCACCACAACCTCGTTTTGAGCTCAGGACTGCCTGACTCAACTGTCGGAGAAAACTTCATCATGAAGTGCATCTACTTTCTCCTCCTGGCACTGCTGACTGCCCTCGTACTTGCGGATTCATCAGTCGAGAGCACCGCCTCTTCAGACTTGAGTATGCAATAAGTATTTGCATGCATATTTCAGTCACTGACCGATATTAGCATCCTCTCTCATCCCACAGCCTAGCGCCGAAGTCGACCCATCAACAGCAACTTCCCTTGACGACGAGGACACTCGAGAAGAGGACATATTTAGTGGCGACCCAGAACTCAAGGCATGGTTCGACCAACTCAACGAAGCCACTCGCAGAAATGACACTTGGCGTTCCGAAAACTATCCCAAAGTTGCCGCTGCAGACGAATCTCTCTCCAATATCACCGCTGCTGATACGCCATCCTTCGATGTCGTCACGGCTGCTGACAAGAAGAGGGGTGGCCCTAATCTGAAGGGGTATTACCGCGTCGATGTGCGTCTAGGAAGAGTACCTACTCATACCGGTACACTGCGTGGGAAGCGCATGTTCAACCGCATGTATCGAGCCCTCAAAGACTGCGGGATTGCTCACCACAATCCATCCATCCCAGGCTTCTGCAATAAAGACCGCCCTGAATGTCCCGAGCATTGCGACATCCCGAACGTAGTATACGACAAAGGGGGCCTCAATTATGGTTCAGACTCGAGCCTCAAGCTCGTAGTCAAATTCTCCTGGTTTGATATCACGCATCACCAGCAGATTCGAGACTTGGGAGTAAGTGCGCAGAAATCGCCATGATGAGCTAAATGCTAACAACGAGTCAGTTCCGGATAGTCGCGAGGATATACGAACTGATGACGCTTCAGAGTAGCAACTGCCGCTATACGAACTTTCCAAACTCCAGGTCAACCCTGATGTGTAGTGTTGCAAGCAAGGTGGAGCTCGCGTTTCCCATCAACGGAGGTCTCATACAGGGCGTCCTAAACGTGGAGCTCATCTGGAGCAAGCACACTAAAGAGGGCAGCTATACTTGCGAAGGCGACACAGAGGGCAACGTCGATGCCATGATGTGGACCGACTATCGCAGTCGCATCTCCAACGCCATGAGCTGGCCCGAGAAGCAGATTCTCCCATTCGTCTACTGCACAGATCCCGATTGTTTCAACCAGAACCTCAAGTTGGATGAACCGTGGCACGAGAATAAGGGCTGTGTTCCGCTTGACTGGCCATTAGGATGTGACCCCAGCCTTACAGGTCCATCCAATCCCAAGCTCAATTGTCCGCCCTCTGCAGAGCCTAAGCAGCCTTCTGGGCCACCGCCTCGGTCCAAAGCACTTTCCATCATCTACCAGGATCTCGTCACCTCAAATTCTGTTGTGAAATCGTGGCTATTCTTCGCGGGCGACTTTGGAAAATCTTCTGCATGTCGAAAGTCTCGAGAGGCTATCAAGAAGGTTGATGGTATCTCTGGAGATGCCACGAACCCGCCTTGGCCTGGAGGTACATATACCCTCAACAACCTGCATGGCATGGAATGCGACTACAAGAATGATGGAACCAATGCCGGAGCCTTGTGGTGCAAAGAGGGTGCATCAGCAGGAAAGAACAAGAAGATTCAATGCGAGGAAGAAGCAACAAAGCGCGTCAAGAAATTTGAAATTTGCCCCGCGGACCATGGCTACGTTATGCATCACCGGGTTGTCAAGTGCGAATGGTAGATGACCAAAGCTTCCTAAATTGCACGGTCGCATGTAGAGTAATCATCTTCTGGCCATCACGTCCACACTCTTATCATATGTAGTGTGCTGATTGGAGCTTTTCGGTCTGATAGCCTTGAGCTTAGTAGTTAGCAATATCGGTGTCCAAAGTGGAGAGCTTTAATGATATGGTCCAATCGGGGAAGACTAGAGTTTCAATAGTTGACATGATTCGAAATATGATCACTAGTATTATACTTCAGTCTTCTTGCAAACAGCTTTGAGGACAAGGCGATAAACTCACACCGAACACTAAGATGAAACCATCACTGTATTTGTGAACACCGCGCTTTTAGATAGGACAAAGTCAATGACACGTATAAAAATATAATCAGATACCTTTTTTGAAGCATTTTGCTACAATGCCTTTGAAAGCTAGATTAGCAAGGGTCGTCCTCACATATCAGTAAGCAACATTATATCAAATGTTTGCTGCTAACTTGCTAGACAAAGGCGCCTGGTGATGCGCCGCAAGAAATTTCGAGATTCAATTTACATCAGCAGCTCGTTGCATACTAACCTGCTTATTAAAACACCTACGACACTCGCATTTACAACTCCTAGATTCTTCACACCCATTACTCTCGGGACTCGATAGACCAACCTCCCCATGACTGTCGTACTGCCAGAATCAAACGACAAATCAGCATTAAGTCCTAGACGCGCACCAATCTCGTCCGTGGCATCTATTCCAAAGACAGGCAAACCAGGCGGTATATACTCGCCCCTCGCTAACGCTTTCCCCCCTCGAGTCTCAAGCACAAGACTAAATGGTATGAAACTTTAGCATTAATACTAGATTTGATAAGACTGGCAACACAAAAGCCTTTGAAGCTGATATCGCGCCTGGGTCTTCCGTCGAGGCGCTGTTGAGGCGTGGTCGAGTACTCGTAGTCGGACTTGGAAAAATAGATACCTGTAGCATTAAGGGCTTAGTAACATCAGGGTGGAATAGTGAGATCACGGTCTACTTCGACAAGAGCGATGGGTAGTTCTTATTTTCTGTAGTGTAGGCGCGATACCGTGACTTTTTGAGTCTACCTCCCGTAATCACAACGACAGCCATATTCGCAGATGTGCTAACGATGACACGAGGAAGAGCACACAGAGGTCGAAGAAAAAGCGAAACCCGTATATGACTTCTCCCCCACGTATACTTTTAATCTGCGCGAGTCCGTCAACTCATTCTTCTAATTCATTCCTAATCTCACGCTAACCCGACCAATTGGAAAATCTCCTAAGTAAAGTAGCGCATTGAACCTCCGCAGTCAGTGTCGCGGCCTCACCCTTTTACCCCACCCCCTGCTAGCCCCTTACAAGGACAGAAACTCCGACCCTCCACAAAAAAAGAAACAAGCATTTCGCCTGTCGGGGTGAATTGTTCTCCGCTGATTCCGAGGTCTGTCCGTAACCTGCATGGACGCGCAATGACCCAGGACGCGCAATGACCCACCCCACCAAACTCAACACCTACACAAAATACCTCATAACTCCACCAATATGGACCCGATTCAGGAAGCGATTGAAGAAATCAAATCGCGCGAACTAGGCGCATCTTTCAGCTATCGCCAAGTTGCAAAAAGGTTTGGCATTAGCTATCGTACGCTCGCTCGAAGACACCAAGGCAAAACTCAGCCTCGCGCGCTCGCCCACCTCTCTATCCACCCACAACGCGAAAAGGAGCTTGTACAGTACATCGAATCCCTCACTAAGAGGCGTACACCACCTTCGCGTCCAATAATACGCTATCTTGCGTCATCCTTGCTTAGTAGAGACGTTTCAGAACGCTAGGTTTCTAGGTTCCTCTGCAGAAACTCATCTCATCTCTCGCTGGCAGAGTCCTATGGACCAGAAGCGTCACAAGGCTAATTCAGCAACCAAGTATAGGTTGTACTTTAAGCTGTTACACAATAAGATGAAGGAGTACAATATACAGCCCTCTCACATCTTCAATATGGATGAAAAGAGCTTCTTACTTAGAATCCTTAGAAGGTCTAAAAGGATCTTTAGTAAGAGGCAATATAAAAGAGGAGGAGTTGTTTCAAGCCTACAAGATGGCTCTAGAGAGTGGATTACAGTCCTAGCCTGTATCTGCTCAGATGGTACACCTCTTTCTCCATCTCTCATCTTTCAGTCAGATGCTAGAGCTTTAAAATCAGCCTAGGTAGAGGCTATTAATCCAAACAAGCACTTAGTCTTTGTTACCTCATCGCCCTCTAGATGGACCAACAATGATATAGGCCTAGCTTGGCTTAAAGAGGTCTTTAAAAGAGAGACTGCACGCTACGCTTGAACTGGGTACTGGTTACTCATTGTTGATGGCCACTCATCTCATGTAACCATGGATTTTCTGGATTATTGCAACAGCTATAGGATTCTAGTTGCTGTATATCCTCCTCATTCGACCTATAGGCTTCAGCCTCTTGACGTTGGGATGTTTGGGCCTCTAGCGTCAGCCTACTTAAAGGAGTTGTCAAACTTCCTCTATTAGAGCTATGGAATCCTTCCTCTAGCAAAAGGAGACTTCTTTAAGCTCTTTTAGAGGGCTTAGGGTACAGCTTTTAGAAAGGAGACTATTATAAGCTCCTTTAAGGCAACTAGCATTAACCCACTAAATGCTGAGGTTATTCTCTAAAAGTTCCAACAAGAGGCCTCTAGTTCAGATGAAAGCTCTTCTTCTGTCCTTAGTGGAGATGATTGGCTCAAAATTGAGTCTATTATACGCCGGGAGGTGAAGGATTTTAATAATAAGGAGGTAAAAAAGCTTCGCCGAAGCCTCCATCACCTCTCAGCTCAAAATAGTATACTTAAAGGAGAAAACCAGGGCTTAAGGGAGGCTCTAAAGGTCAAAAAGAGACACCAAAAGAAGAGCTACACGCTTCAACTCAATAGGCCTGAGGAGTACCATAGAGGAGCTGTCTTTTGGTCTCCTAAGAAGGTTCGCCAAGCCAAGGAGGATAAGATGGAACGACAACAAGAACAACAGCAATTACAACTCCAGAAAGCTGAGAGATCTGAGTTAAGGAGACAAGCTCAATTGTACAAGCTTCAAATAGCCCAGGAGAAGCGTGTTGAGAGAGAGAGGCTCAAGGAGGTGAGAGAGAAGGAGAGAGCCGCCAAGGTGGCTCAAAAGGAGGCTCAAAAGGCAGCCCGGGAGGCTGAAAAAGCTATACAATTATCCCAAAGGGGTAAGCGCAAAGCCTCACAAGGCTCCTCTCAAAAGCAGAAGCGTTAGAAACGTGTTGTTGTTGATTCATCTCATGTACAAGCTAAGGTGGCTGCACTAGCCGTCCTAACTCAGACCACCCGCCACGGCCGCACCACTAAGCTACTAAGTAGATACAAGTAGCCTATTATGATCGCAATGCTATAATTACTACAACACCATGAAATCTCGTGATAATAGCGACTATAGGTGGCTGTACAGCCTCATCTTTTGCAATAGGTTTTTTGGTGGGGTGGGTCATTGCGCGTCCTGGGTCATTGCGCGTCCATGCAGGTTACCTTTAAGTACAAGGGTGCTAGCCGATCTTCGCGCCCCCGTCTTACCGGGTATCAACCTAGCACCCCCCACCCCCTTGTTGCACACCAGTCTGATTACGACGATATTGAGGGGGGGGGAAGCTGGTTCCAAATGCAAGCAATTACATTTTTATGATTGTTTTTATGCTGTTTGGATAATAGGTGTACGTAGAGCGTGTTCTGTTTTTGAGACACGTTCCCGAATGGCAGAAGTTAGACCATCGGGATCGCAACATGCGCCGTTGGATGATAGCGGAATCAAATTGCGCTATATCGTGTGATCTCGTGACATGCTGAATACGCTTGAACACCGAAAAAAAGAAAAAAAAGAAACTCCAAGAAAACATCTCTTGGGGGGGAAGGGGGGTCATTTAGAGACGATAGTAAGTAACGCTGCCAATAGACATGTGGTCTCAAAGTTACATTTATGAAAATTTCACAAATCTTCCCATATCCACAGAAGTCACTCTCTCAATGCTGCTATTGGTTACCGCAATCCATATTTTTTCTTTAAATCTTAATGCTTAAATTCAAAGAGAGTCAAATACCACGTCGTCAAGTCGAGCCGAGTCCGAGCAGAAAAAGGACAAAGCGTAGGTATGCCAAGACCTCCGCCTCCGAGTATCCCGGACAGCGAGTGTCGGAAATCTGTCCGAGGTTAGCACAATTAAAGTTCTGGGGGCCCTAGACAGGAGAAGCAAGGCAGGGGAAGGGGGGCAAAGAATGGGCAAGTTTACTCGAGTGAACCTGGTCCTCTGCACGTGTGAAATGCAAATGCATACTCGCTGCTCGTGGATGGATGCATGTATTGCAAGGCTTGGCATTTGCACTACGTCATCTTAATTCGGATTGGCTGGTCTTACACGCACACGCACATGTGCATCATGCTCGGGGCAACAAAGTCAAACGTGACTTTCTTCACCTCTGGGCACAACCCTCCCCCCCCACTCCGGAAGCGATCGATCTCTCGTGCTCGAGAAGCGCCGCGATGCCTTCGACCAAGTCGTTTCCTGCGATAACAGGGGGCTGTGTGTGCAATACGGTCCGATACCGGTTACTCACGTCACCTCTCTTCTGCCACGCGTGCCACTGTCTCGACTGCCAGCGAGTGTCTGGCAGCGCATTTATTCTGTCCCTGGAGATTGAGCTGTACAACATCAAAATCATCTCGGCCACACTACCGGCGTTCACCAAGCACGAGCCCAAGCCCGGTGTCTTCGAGCAGTTTGCAGAATGCCCAAAGTGTCGGGTCCGCTTGTGGGCGGATAGCATGGTGGAAGAAGCCGTCTGTGATGTTCGCGTGGGTACCCTGGACTTTCCTAGCCTGATGGAGCCCGATCTGCATATCTTTGTCGAGAGCAAGCTTGACTGGGTGCGTTTGCCGGACGGGGCCCGGACGATGCTCAAAGGTGGGAATGTACAGCAATTTTGGCCAAAGAGTAGTTTAAAGAGGCTTGAGATATGCAGACAGAGAGTTGAGGAGGCCAAGCAGAGAAGAGCTGCTGCGTTGACAGGGGTAAAGGACGCTGCGAAGAGTGGAGGTGAAGGTGGTGTAGAAGAGGTGGATGGAGAGGGCGACAAGACACCTACTGCTTTGGAGTTTAGCAGAGAAGACGACGAAGAGTTTGAGGTGAGATTTAGGGAAAAGGAGAAGGCGTTGCAGGATCGGTTGGAGAAACTCAGTCTCAAGTTGGGTGAGAGAAAGGGCTCCGAGATGGATCAAACAAGCGTTCAGTTGGCTGAGCCTGATCCAGATAAGTCAAGACAGGATACAGGAGTCGTGAGTTGAACAGGATGTCCGAGGAAATCAACTTTATTATCTTAATATGCTTTTTGGGGTTTAGGGATGAGTAGAAGATCTCGGTGTGGATTCGGGATCAAGCGCACTACACATTACTTAGTGTCCTAGAAGATTGGGGATAAGCAGCTCTCCGTGTCCGTTCCATATATTAATATCAGAATTCGAAACAGTGTCTGCCATTGAGTATAAAATCAACTAGATCCAAGGGTATTGAGGTGGTGCGTCACCCCTAAAATTGTCACTCATAATTCAAACAATTCTTTGTAGATGGAACCGTATTGATCTACATAATGTACATTGGCCCCTATGCGGTAGCGCTTTTGAAGGCATTTCGGACGGGCAAAAGTGCGGGTATGCTACTCTTTAGTGTAGACGCTCCGCTTGAAGATGCATGGGTCAGCCCCAAGCCTTCATGCGATTGGCTCCTTTGCAGGGCTTCCATGACCCTTCCGACCTCGTTGCGCTTTTCAACTTCGTACTCTTCAGCCGACAGGAACAATGTTTCTTTAAGCGCCTTGTTGATTTCCAGAGGTTCGTGTTCAATGGACTCGGGCCATTTATATGCTGCATAGAGAGCGTCTTGCATATCTGCCCATCGCACCGAAACACCATCAAGCGTGTATGACTTGGCAGGGGTTTGCTTGAGCGCCTTTGGGAGAACTGAACGCGCGATATAGTGGTCGCGAGATTCAGCCTGGGCCTTGGCATCGAAGGCCTTCTCGAGTGATTCAATCTCGGTTCGTTTTTGAGCGAGGAGTTGAGCATCATTCTCAAGATCTGTCGCGGACCGGGTCGGGTCTGGTTTCTCGAGTGCGTCCTCTAGGATGCGCGCTTGGGTCCTCATTTCGTTCAACTTGGCTTCAGCGCCGGGCTCTTTAGCGGGTGCTGCCCTCTGTGAGAGGTCTGCCTGAATCTTCTTGAACTGCTCTGCTTTTCGAATTGCGTACTGCATCTTTCCTAACCGCGTCTCGAGGCTTGCTTTGGTGGCTTTTAAGCTCTTCTGATCCGCCTCGCTCTGATGATGCCTCATCTTGAGCTTCAGATCCATTGATCGTATTTGACCTTGCAGCCACTTGACATTGTCTGTTGGCTTTTCCTTGACTAGACTTGCATTGGCGAGCGCATCAATTTCCTGCCAACGTTTGTCCATGACAGCGGTCGCTTTTTTCTCGTGCTCCAGCAACTCGGCTGCAGTCTTGGCGCCATGCTCCGCTTGTATGCGCAGCACCTCGGCCAAGTCAGCGCTCGTGTTGGCGCGCTGATCCATAATCTTCTTCACACGTTGCTTCCGCTCCATGGATACCATACCAGGATTCGTCTTGTCCCAAGCGGTCTCGTGCAGTTTCCGGAACTCACGCAGCTTGCGAAAGGCATTGTGGCCCTGGGCCGGAGTGGGGAAGGTAACCACACAGTGCGGGACCCATTCGTCCGGGCGCAGAGCAGGCGGCTTGGAGTGCTTGCCGATGAAGGGGAGCTGGTCGAGGTGGTGTTTCTGGAGACGATCAACAGCCAGTCAATTGGTTCAGTGCGGGCAGCATACATCCAACAGCTCCTGCAGGGAGTAGATGATCTGGTTGGTCTTTGTGTTGCGAAAGATGTAGATTATCTCTCCATGCTTTGCCGTGCCTTCTGGGTCTACTACGTCCCGCAATGTGTAGGGCTTGATTGGGGCATTGACATGCTGTCCCGTCGGCTGCCGCCTCGCCTTGTCATTCACGACGGTCTGCAACCGGAGGTGTTTGGGGTTGGATTGGCGTTGGACATAGGCGGCGACACGCCTCTGGAGCAATTCCTCGTGGGCGGGAGACAAGCGACTGGCGCCGTGGGGGAATGATATGGGCTTTAGCGGAGGCTTGTAGCGGAGCCGGGCGAGTGAGCGAGGCATGGCCGCAGCGTGGGTGGTGGTGCCAATTGACGGCCAGACAATCTGCGTCTTTGATGCAAAGACGTGGATGCGAGAATCCAGGGCGCACGGGCCGCCCGCTCTCGCGGAACGCCAGCGACACCTCCGCTTGCTCCCAGCGCGACCGCTCGGCGTGTCCTTGGTCGCAGCAGGCCTCGACATGTACTATGGGCGGCGCTGATGCGGTTGCTGATGCGCGTCTTTCCTCGTCCCTAACGCCAGTCCTGTCCTCTCGCCATGCACCCATGAGTCGCATACAAGACTCACACTCCATCTGCCTGCATCCGCGACACGCTACGTAACAATGGCCAGCGATTCGTTTCCGACGGCTGGCCAGCCCGACTCTCCACCACCACGCGAGCGCCCGTGGCTGCTGCCATATGTATGTTTCACTGCTGGCGTCGATGGCTTGCATGGCTGACAAAAAGCGCAGAACCGCAAGCTGCGGCATCTCCAAGGCATCACGATCCGCAACCTCACGCTCACGCCGAGCCCCTCCAAGTCACGCGGCAAGACCATTGACGACGAAGCCATCCCGAGCACACTCAAGTCGCCTGCCAAGGCACTTGCGCAGCGAGAAAGCCGTGGCTTGGTGCACTCGTGGTCATCGAGCGACCTCACCTCATCCGATGATGCCGTCCGGCGCAGCAATGGCGGCTTACGTGACCCAACCACGCCGAAGAATTCGTCAAGGCCAGCAACGGGGGCAGGTCTGAGGAGGCGCTCCACAATGGAATGGACGAATGCGAGTCCATTGACTCGCCAGAAGAAGCTGGAAGACATTACTGCTGGGCGCATGGCTGACACCTTCTTCACGCTGCATGTGGATGATCAGTTGGACCCAGTGTATGTTTCCGAGGTGGCTGAAAAGGCCATGAATCCCAACTTCAAGTTCTTCGACCTCGCCCCCTGTGGACCGGGTGTGACGCGGCTGGACAAAGTCACTGTGCGGGTATGGGCAAAGAACGAGACGATGCAGGGCTGGCAGTACCTGTTGGACTACACGGTGCAGTTTAGGTCGCTGCAGTTCATTGGAAAGACGCTCGAGGGTTTCATGCACCAGTTTCCCCCGAATTGTATACTCTTCCATATGATGGATGGTATATACACGAGTTTCACAGACGTGCCAATACAGCAAAGGACACGGCCAGAACTTCTCGCACCGCCAAAAGAGAGTGCCGATGGCAGAGTACTTCCTTCGTCCTCGTACGATGCGCTGATGCGGCTGTCTACACTGGACGACTGCATTCAAGATGCATTGACTACGCGAGATCGCATCGCTGACGAGATTGAGAGCATACTCGCAGCGAACAAGGAGGATATATTCACAGTGGAATCAGTAGCAGAGTCGGAAGAAAGCTCGCGGACAGTACAGGCTGCGGTGGCGGTTGAAAAGCGCCGTGTTACGGCTGCGCGAAGAAGACGAGACGAGCTGCAAGCGAGCATCCAGGATAGGCGAGACAAGATGAGGATTGGGCGCGAGCAGCAGGCAAAAGCAGAGAGTGAAATGGCCGAAGACCAGTCCAAGGGCAACGAGACCAAGGCGCTTTTGGAGAAGACGGGCGAGGACATTACTGGCCAACGACGGAGGGTTTGCGAGGACGTGCTCAGGATATTCCCCATTGAGCCCGTGCCTGGGAAACCCCTTACCTTTACGATACGCGGACTGCTGTTACCCAATTCGGTGTTTGAGGACGTGCAGGAAGACGTCACTTCTGCAGCGCTGGGTCACGTGGCCCAAGTGGTGAGCCTGCTGTCGCCATATCTTTCGGTCGTCTTGCCGTACCCGATGTCACTGCAGGGCTCGACGTCGACGATTGACGATCCGCTGGCGCTTTCGCAAAACCAGCAGCCTCACCAACGCACGTATCCGCTGTACATGAAGAACGTTGTCCGATACCGTTTCGAGTATGGCGTGTTTCTGCTCAACAAGAACATTGAGATTCTCTCCAACTCGCTGGGGCTGCGGCCGGTCGACATGCGGCATACACTGCCGAACCTCAAGTACCTCTTGTACGTGGCGACGGCAGGCAAAGGCGAGCTGCCGGCTCGCAAGGCGGGGGGCATCAAGGGCCTGCTGAGGCAGGATGGGGCACTCTCTCGGAAGGGGAGCATGGATAGCACCGTGACAGTCAGCAGCGTCGGAACGCCGACGACGGAGATAAGGAAGAGCCTGGAGATTGCGGGCAAGAAGCTGGAGCAGACCAAGGCCAATGGGACGGCCGTGTATGGTACGGGGGCCGTGGCGCATAAGACTGGCGTGCACGCGGGCAGCCGGCTCAGGCCCTTGGAGTAAGGAGGGCGTGGTGTGGTATGTGTATGTAGTAGGTAGTAGTCGCGAGACAGGGCTGTGCTGGCGATTCCTCGGCGTGCGTTGCGGGCAGACTAGCCCGACGTGGGGCTAGGAGGCGTGTTTTGAGTATCAGGTGTATGGCAATCCGAAGATGCCGTCATGGCTTGCCCGGTTTAATTATCGCCATGGCGGGCCCGCGAGGGCTGCTCTGCCTGCGCCTGCGCCTGTGCCTGTGCCTGTGCCTGTGCCTGTGACACGGTTGCCAAGCACGGCAGATCGCCGCCGAGGGCACTGGACTTTCTCTTCCGCCGGGGAATGCCAATGGGTGTGAGGTTGCGCGACGGCGCGCCGCCGTTCAGCTGGGGAAACGGTTCCGTCATGATCAAGGGAGGGGGGGGGGCAGCAGCTGCAGAGGGGAGGGCGATGGCGGGTGTGAGCAGTTGGCTGCGAGGAGGAAAAGAGCCGCGAGCTGGAGCGAGCAAGGGAGAAAAGGAGAAGACGCCCAGCGCGCAGAAGCAAGCCACCAGCACTCCAATGACTAGGTGTATGTCGTGGTGGGCACAGGCAATGTTAAAACTGGCACTGGACCGGTGCAACTCATTTCCCGGCGCCCACCGCAGGCCAGGCGGCTTTCCCTGCCGATTCGGACGCCATGCAAGAGTGGGGTGCGCAGACTCCCCCGCGGCAAGAGGAAGTCTTTTGTGTCGATCTGCCCTGCCCTCTCACCCTCGCCCTCGCCCTCGCCCTCGCCCCAGCCCTCACGCTGTCCTGGCCAGGGGGAGGCAGACGCTGCGCTGTGTCAGCCCCAGCCCCAGCCCTCGCCCCCAGCATCGCACCGCACCACACGGCACGACCACGACGACGGCGGCGGCGCGGCGGCCCTGCACACTGCCGCCGTGAAGCTCGCACGAGGTCAGTCCCGCCCGCAGCCCGTCTGGCACGGACGTCGTCTGGCGATGTCGACGTGCCTGCGCTGGCGACACATAGGCCCTCAACTCCGCCCATGCACAGCCCAATCTCCATGGACTCGGTATGTGTGCCATGAGCATCGCCATTGCACATGGCCAATTGTGCAACGGCCCTCCAGAGAGAGCATCCACTGACGGGCTGCCAGAAGACGGACAAGTTTTTCCGACGCTCAAAACGCAAGACGACACGCCGCTACCTTTCCAAGTTCAAGCGCGCGTGCATACGGCACACATGGCTGCTCCCCCTCGTCCTCGCCGCCACGACCATCCTGCTGTACCTCGTCTATCCCTACCCCTCGAATCCCTTTTCGGCCTGTCTCTTCCTCTCGTATCCCCTCGCACGCGACGACCCCCTCATCCCCGCCCACGTGCGGGCCGACCCCAACGCGCCGCTGCACTATGGAAAAGGTGGACGGGACTTTGCCTTTGTGGGCTTCTACACCATTGTGCTGAGCTTCACGCGAGAATACTGCATGCAACGGCTGATTCGCCCCATTGCTATACACTTTGGCATCAAAAACCGCTACAAGCAGTCCCGCTTCATGGAGCAAGCGTACACGGCCCTCTACTTTGGCATCTACGGCCCCTTTGGCGTATGGATCATGTCGCGCACGCCCGTGTGGTACTTCAACACGATTGGCATGTACCAAGGCTTCCCCCACCGGACGCACGAGGCGGTTGTCAAGGCATACTATCTTCTCCAGGCCAGCTACTGGGCGCAGCAGGCCATTGTGCTGATGCTGATGCTGGAAAAGCCGAGGAAAGACTTCAAGGAGCTGGTGGCGCATCACATCATTACCGTCAGCCTGATCTGGTTGAGCTACCGGTTTCACTTTACATACATGGGCATTGCCGTGTACATCACACACGACATCTCGGATTTCTTCTTGGCCGTAAGTTGCAATTGGTTGCTAGGCGCAGAGGCTGGAGACTAACGCGAAGACAGACGTCCAAGTGCCTCAACTACATCGACTCTCCCATTGTGGCACCGTACTTCTTCCTCTTCATGGTCATCTGGGCGTATCTGCGTCACTATGTCAACCTCAAGATTATTTGGTCCATTCTCACGACTTTCAAGACGGTGGGGCCGTTTGAGCTGAACTGGGACACGCAGCAGTACAAGTGCTGGATCAGTCAATACATCACATTCGCCCTCCTTGCGTCGCTGCAGGCGGTCAACCTCTTCTGGTGGTTCTTCGTGTGCAGGATTGCGTATCGCTTTGTGGTATACAAGGATGCAGACGATGATCGCAGCGAATACGATCCCACCGACGACGAGGTCAACGAGCACGAAGCATTGCTGAACGAAGAGGTAAACGTCCAAGTGAAGAAGACTGAGAAGACGGACAAGGTGGACAAGGTGGAGAAGGCTGAAAAGACTGAAAAGACTGAAAAGATGGAGAAGATGGAGAAGATTGACACGACACCAGCCACGCCGGCGAGTGGAGCTGCGGTGGTGGACGAGGACAGTATTGGATCAAGAGTGAAGCAGCGCAAAAGCGCAAAACAACAATGATGGGGCGGGGAATGATGGACTGGCTCCCATGACGGAGGACGACTTTTTCAGAAGGGATTGTTGGAGGCTGAAGGGATGCAGGTACAGGGATCTAAGAGTAAGAGTAATGCGACGTGGGCAAAGAAGAGCCTGACGAGGTTAGTTGGATTTTAATGATGGGGGATCTTGTCAAGAGACGGATGTAACCGTTGGACCGTGCAGTGCAGTGCAGTGCAGTGCGAAGGGAAAGCCAGTCACGAGCAACGGCGATAATCAAGGGATACGTAGCATGTACTGCTCGAGCTGTCATGTACACAGTGTCGAGATGCGAGTAGTTACGTAGCGGCACGTCTGCCAATAAAAGTTGGCGTTATCAGTACATGCAACAAGCGCGCTCAACGGCCTTGGGACTCTGTTGGACTGTTGGCAGGCCTGACCGGTTGAGGCAGCGAAAACAAACGTCTGGTGCCACGGGGACAGGCGCGAGAGCTAGAGACATGAATCGAGGGAGGGCTGTCAATGCGATGAGGGCGGTGCAGTAGTGTGTCGGAGGCATCGGATTGTTGAATTGCCGTCGAGGCCTGGACAAGCAGTGGCAACAACAGGCTATTCGTCGGTAGATTTGGCTGCAAGGCCGGTTCCGTGGCGGAGGTATGCCGACCGCATTGGCATGGACAGGGAGGGTCCTTTCTGGCTCGATGCGCGCGCCATTGTGCCGGACCAAAGTCGGAAGAGGAGGCTGAATGCAGCCAGACGCGCCCTGGCTTTTTTCTGCTGCTGCTGCTTTTTCTTTGCTCTTCCTTGGTCGCTGCAGCGAGTGCGCGCATGCCATGTATGTAGTCTTTCTGACAACAGCAAGACGGAGGTCCATGCTCCCCCGCATTTCCCAGAAAAAACCTCCCCCAAGTTTCGGCCCATAATTTTGTTCTGTGTCGCGCCGCCATTTTGGCCACGCCCCCCCCTGGCACGGATCGCTCACCGCCCCCGCCCCTAAAATTCTCTGCTTCTCGCCTCCTTGGACGCGTTTTTTTCCCGCCCGCCAGCCCTGAAGAGAGACCCACATCAACAACAACCTTTTTGCCTTTGCCCTAGGGGCCCACTTTCTTGATATATATAGTCCTCCCCCCAGATCTCAGTCCGCTTTGGTCTTCCTCACTTCTCCCCGCATTCTCTCGCACATTGCCCGTCGATAACCCTTCGTTCAAACAACGGCATTCTCTCCAGCAAGTCACTTTTGAGACATTCACGCCAGTTCGCTTATCACACGTGGCGTCTTAGCACTTCACCAAACAATCACCACCCACCCACCCACTTGTCGCTACAAATAGCCTGTCCGTGGTTTCCGATAGCCCATCTTCCCTCGCCACTTCTTTCAACAAAACACGACAAATCCTCAACATCCAACCATGTTTGCCCGTATTGCTGCCCGCGCCCCTATTGCCGCCGCCTTGGCTGGCAAGCGCGCTGCTCCAGCCACCATCCGGTACAACTCTTCCAGCTCCTCGAGCAGCGCCGCTCGCATGATGGAGATGGCTGCCCAGGCCGAGCGCCCAAGTATGTTTTACCCACCACATCCATAACTCCCCTTTCCCTACCAAAATTACTAACATCTTCCTCTCTCCAGGCGCCACTGAAGTCGCCGTCCCCGTCATGTGGGCCATCTGCGGCGCCCTGGGCTACACAGCCTGGAACCGCATGACCGAGCGCACCGCCGGCCAGCACGTCGAGAAACTCCTTATTGTTTAGACGTGGACAAGATGTTTTTCTAATGTCCTCCTTCTCCACCATGACCACCGCTACGATACCCCCTCAATCACCCTTTACTTCTCTTGTCGAGTACGACACCACAATCACGTCTGGTCTTTTCCTACACACTCTCTCTTTCTCTATCTTGGATTCAGAGCGCGCTGCGGGGAATAGACATAGACATACTTCTTCCTTTTTTTTCCTAGTGTGCAAAGTGTTGGTTTGCCTTTGCTGGCATTATAGACCGTCTTCCTTTGTTTAGCTCGTCTTGTTGCATTTGGTTGCGTGGCTTTTCGCATACTGGGCATGGCATGTACGACTAGGCTTTTTTTTTTACTTGAGCTCCTCTCTCTGTATCTTCTTTTGACTTTTACTTTCTTATTTATCAAGTTTAGAGAGAAAGCCTCGAAGTAATAATGCATAAAAGACTGAGTTGTTGTCTGGCATCATCATCATCATCATCACACATGCATGAGTGAATGAGAAATCAAAGACAAATATGAAAAAAAAGCTTGGACATATCCACACGTAACTTGCATGAATTAGCCCCCTTGTTTGTTGTTGTTGTTGTTGTCACTCTGTTTTCCCTGGTTTCCTTTTTCCCCGCCTCCCTGACTACATCAGTCCCTCCCCCTTGTTCCATACTTTCTTCAACTTTCTGTACTTTGACGCCTTTATGCACCTCTCTCTCTCTCTCTCTCTCTCTCTCTCCTCTCTCCTCTCTCCCCTCGCCAACTCGCCTCCTTTTCTTTTTCAAAGTGAGATAAACATCACACTTCCCCATACTAATGCTGATGCTAATGCTACGTCAAGTTTTTTTTTCTTCTTTCCCCCCCGCCATGTTCGCTTCGCGAAACGAACCCGTTTTGAGCGCCTGCTGGAGCTTGATGTGATGAGTGTGGACTTTGGCGAGGGACATGACTCGACTCGATTTGGAGGCGAGAAACGAGAGGCGAGAGAAACCATGCAACCATAACCAGGATAGAAGAAACTATGTAAGTGCCGAGGTGAAAAACCCGAGGAATTAAAGTTACCGCCGTCAACTCTGTGTTTTATTTGTTTTTTCGGTTTTGGGTTTCCTTTTTTTTCCTTCCCCCACACACAGTGGTTATACAGCGCATTAGTGTTAGTGTTAGTGTTAGCAAGGACGCGGGCGTGTGGACAAGTAGCAGCACATGGAGTCGAATAACAAATTCTCTATCCCTCGGAAAGCATGAGCAAAAAAAAAGAAGAAACAGAAACAAAATGAAGGGGCTAGTAAGTATGAATGGACAATGACGTAGACATGTAGGGGGGAGGCTTGTTTTGGTATCGGGGAAAAGAAAAGAGAGAGGTAGGAAAGTGGTAAGTAGGGTGTTTTGGAGAGAAATGGTTGGGGCAATGCGTCTGGGGAAGTTGATGTACCAGTGCTGAGCACAACAACATCTAATCTACCACTATTGCATTTTATCGGCTCATTTGAGTTGCAAAGGCGTGGCTATGCTATACGCCACTGCGCGCTCAGCTCCAGCAGCTGCGCCCACACGCCTCAGCCGCTACAGCTGATTCATGGGTACCATTGGCGCACCGCACGGCTAACCACACGGCGCAATCCCCTCATCCTTCAGCTCTTTACCTGAGGCCCCGCCTGCAGCCTAGCCTTCTGCTCTCAGCCTCGTCACCGACCGATAGAAAGGACCCCGCTCGTCATGCACGCTCGCCATGTATCCACCGATCTGGCCTGGCACGCTCCGCGATACCACGTAGGTTCACGTCAGTTTCACCAAGTATATGACATCCGGGGCGTAGAGAGTTACTATCGCTCATACAAATATATGCAAAGTAACGTACAATAGCGAGGTAATGGTGCATATCCATCTTCAGATGTGCTTTAACCAACATATATAGGGGTAAACATGTTTTGGGTGGTCCCTCGCTCCGTTAATATTCTTTTTACCGGGCGCTCAGAACTCTTAAGCCGAATTGAGAGCGAGTTCCGAAACAACAATGCTGGCACGACAGAGCAGAAGCGGCTAGTCATCACAGGCGTAGGCGGCATAGGGAAGAGCGAAGTGTGCTTGAGGGCTGCAAAACTACTGCGCGATGAGTGCGTTACAGCTTTATTATGCTACCTGTTGCCACATCTCCTAACAGTTCACAGCTTCGACGGCGTATTTTGGGTTGATGTCAGCAGCCCGCCGACTGCCATAAGCGGCTTCCAAGCTATTGCGGAAGAGCTGGGATTGCATGACGAAAGCATTGGTGCATCTCTCCATATGCTTGCAAAGCTCCAGAGACGCTGGTTGTTGCTCTTGGATAACGCGAACGATCCAGAGTTTGACTATTCGGCGTACATTCCGTCTGGCACTCAAGGTGCTGTGATCATGACATCCCGCATACCTGAGTGCAGCCGGTACAGTACGCTACCGGTCGAAGTGCTTGAGGGCCTGGAGGAAGAGCATTCGATACAACTTCTGCTCAAAGCTGCCCGCGTTCCAAAAACATCTTTGCACTCTTCCAAAGAGCAGGCAGAGGCTATCGTACAACTGTTAGGATCACATACGCTAGCGCTTATCCAAGCTGGTGCCTATATTGCAGAAGGGCACTGTCAGCTAGATCAATATGCAGAAAATTACAAGCAGCTACGTACGAGGCTACTCGAGAATAATCCTACCCAGCAGCAGTCAAAGTATCAACATGTTTACGTAACCTTCAAGGCTTTGGTTGAGGCGCTGAACAATTCTCATGATGAGATGGGCCAAGATGCTTTAGACCTGCTTGGAGTTCTTTCTATGATGCACTCTAGCATGGTGCCACTTGAAATCTTTCAAGACACTTGGAAAGGAGCTCGGTGCATACTTGAGGACGATGACGACCAGAGAGACGAGGCAGGCACTCTCAGACAATGGCACGTATGCCAGCTACCTGAGTTCATCCCCACACAAGCAGACAAGTGGGATTACCAACGGCTAGATAACGCTATAAATCTACTTACCTCCCTCTCGCTGTTGAAAAGAGGTCTCGTAGACGGCGTAGAAGGATTGTCGTTCCATCCGCTTGTCCATGAATGGGCGAGAGATCGACTGCACCAGGAGCAGCAGCAAACGGCCTGGGTACGTGCAGGATGCATCCTTGCCTTATCGTGGAACCAGTCAGAGACCCGGAAAGAATACGAGAGCCATTTGAGACCGCATTTGCACGCTTTCCTGTCGCTCAGAACGAACAAAATCCTTTCTTTCGGCCCACCAGGCACGATATTGCCTATATTGCTGAGATGTGGCTGGGTGCTGAACAAGATGAGGGAAGGTAACTTGCTCGCGCTCGTGATACGAGACATGTATGGTGCTCTTGGGATAGAACCGTCGGATCCGTCACGAGAGCATATACAGATATGCAACCTGGATGCAATCAACCTGTGTCGCCCAGACCATACTGAGCAGGCCTTGAGGCTCCTGAAGCACGACTTCAAGGTTAGCGAGGTTTTACTGACAGACGGTGATAATTATTCCCTGGTATTGGGGTATACGTTTGCTAATGAGTACCTGATTGGAGGGCAAAAAAATATGGCTGGAGCGCTGCTAGAGAGCCTCGTCAAGTCGGCAGAGACTATGCTGTCAAAGACCAATATCTCTCTTTTAGTTGAGCCTCATCAAGATGCTGATAATACTACGATTGCAGCCAGCACACGGTATCGGCTTTATTGGGGCTGTGTAGGTCTTCCGATAGATATCCAGTTGGCTTTCGTGGCTAATATTATTCTACAGAATTGTGGCCACGTAGGTTACGACGACTTTGAAGAAACCATTCCAGGTGCTGTTGCCAGACTCGCTGATCTTTTACGAGTAAATGGAGTTCGATCTCGCGTCAAGTTACGGCTGTCCCATCATAGAGGCCTTTGGATGTATCGATTATGTCTTCTCATTTGGAATGTGGTCCATCATCACATCAAAGCCCTAGGAATACTCCCTAAAGTTTTCATGTTACCCTTCAAAATCATGGGATTATTCATCAAAGCTGTAGGATTGTACTTTGAAGTTTTAAGATTATTCTTCGAAGCAGTTTCCACGCTAAGCACATCTCACTCCGCTACACCAGTACCTGTAGGGCCCTCTGGTCAGAGCAACCCGTTGCCTGTGGCTAGTGGTGGACAGAATACCGCACAATCGACCAATCCAGTGCCCAATATTGTATATCATCCAAACGGTGCTCCGGTAACAACTCAAGCTGTAGCTACGCAGTACCAACAGCCGCCTCCGAGCCCTCGGAATGACTATATGCTGTTGTGCGCACACGACCAACGCTGGTTAGCCACTCGGGAAGACTTGGACGTAGCCCAGATAAAGTCCGACCGACAGCTTTCGACTCATTCCAGAACCGGATTAACAAGCGGAAAAGCTGGATTTGCAGGACCATCGGCCTGAAGACTGTTCAGGGCATCTCTTTCGTAAAAGTAAGTAATTCCCAGCCTACTCAACACGATTGGAATTTACCGTCAAGACACGGAATTAACGAGGACACAGTTTGCGCTCCGTGAAGACCAAGAGGTAGATCTCCTCCAACCCGGTGAAATACCACCTCCTATGGAGCAGCACTACGACTTCAACGAGCGGAATCCAGGCCGCATCCCGCCCATTGGCAACAACTACCTCATGCATCGCTTCTCGAACAGCACTCACTGCCGAGACAGCACATTCTGCCTCGACCAGATTCCAAAACGCATAGGCAGCCGACCAAAAATGGGCTCCAAGCCCGATGGCTTCACGGGGTGGGGGCTTTTCTTCGAGGAGAGCCTCGACATGTTCCGACTCTGCATCTGGGGCACCGCCATGTTCCTCGTCAGTCTGGTATTTGGCGTCGCGTGGGCAAAAGAAAAGAATAGCGTGCAGGATGGATTCGCGGTTGCCTCGTATATTCTTGGGTTCCAAGTCCTGGCTATGGGGACGATCCAGCAGGCGATATCTAGTAAGATGGTTTGAATGCCTGTGTGTGTGTGTTGTGGGAATAAATAGTCGTGCCATTCTTGTACTTTGGCCAAACTATGTACTTGCATGATTGAAATAATAGTATGAGGGAAAAAAAGAAAAAAGAAAACAAGCAGAGTATAGTCCAAAGTAACTCTCAAAGGAGCCCGAGAGATCCCCCCACCACCTAGCACGCATCGTAGAATAATACATTGTATGTATGTATGTATGTATGTTAGCATATACGGTGTCTTCGCCAAATGAGGTATAGATCGACCCCTGAATTTTTTTTCGGCTCTTCAACTCTATGTAGCAGAGTACTCGTGCTATCGCCCATTTCTTCACAAACATAATACAATATGATACAATACAATACAATACAATATGATAGAAAAGAAAAGAAAGGAAAGGAAAAGAAAGGAAAGGAAAGGAAAGGAAAGGAAAGGAAAGGAAAGAGAAAAGTAGGAAAAGGAAATCATGTTACAACGGGTGTATAAGACATGCCTTCATTCTTTTTATACATCTCCATCCATTTCGGGCTCAACTGCTGCTGTACGATAAAACAAGACAAGACTAGACAAGACAAGTCAAGGCAAGAGAAGACAAGACAAGGCGTCGAGTACTCAAAACGCACACGTACTTTTCCATATTTGAAATTCCTTCTGCCTGTGTGTGTGTGTGTGTGTGTGTGGAAAGTGTCATGTTATTATCATTATGGGTTTGAATTTTCGTTGCAAAGTGGTAGGATAGATGCTATGTACGTAGTGTTATTTTGCTCTTATTCAGTAGCTTTTCACCATCTTCTTCTTTTTTTCTTTTTTCGCAAGAGCAAGGGTTCACATTCACATTCACAGTCAACTAGATTTAGAATGTGCAGTACATAGTATTTGAGATTGAGAAACGAAAGATATGGATATATAGTGGGCGGCTGATATTAAGCAATGTGCAAAAAAAACGACGAGGATTGTGTTCCATAGTTGAGAGAGAGGGAAAGAGGAGATCATAGTTGGAACTGATATACATCATACATAGGAGGATCAAGCAAGTAAAAAAAAGAGTTTTTAGTCGTAATTTCATCCTACATACATACTTACATGTACGCACGCATGCATGTACGCAAATATCAAAATGCGTTAGAAAAATATGCTACAACAGAATATCATTATAAACAAAAAGAAACGGGGAAAAAAGAAGCATCCCAAGTGCAACCCCCTCAATGCCTAGAATCAAACTCTTGCCGCTCTGTGCGCAGCGCCAGTACGAGAAGGTGAATACTGGCTCGGCAGCCAGGACTTACCAGGCATGTCCTTATTAACCGTGCGTTTGTGCGAGGTGCCCCAAACTGCACCAGTAGAGACGTAATTCGCCATTCGTTCGTACATTTGGATTTCCTGAGCAGACAGTGGCTCTCCCATGTCAATCTGGTCCGTGTCATCTGCGGACTGCGACTTGCGGGTGGGTGGGCTGCGGAAGGGTCTCATGATATCGCGGAGCTCGTCGTCGGTGGACGAGATTTGGGCTTTGATGTATGCGATTGCAGACGGAGATGTAGTGTCGGAGCCCGAGAGGGTGTTCATGATGGGTGTGCGGGGCGTGTAGGCGTGTGTGTATTTCTGGGGCATTGGTGGTGATTTCGGCTGAACCGAGGCTTCCAGCTGTGCCTCTGTACCCTTATCGAGAAGGGCTATGATGTCAAGGCTCTCGCCGTGTGGTATCGCTTCTTTGTTGCTGGGCGTAATGCAATCCATATCTACCTCCTTTCTCAAGACATGGTCAATGTCGACTGCAGAGAAGTAGGCGCAAGACTGCGGAAGCTGGTCGATGCCCATTTGCTGTGCAAACATGGCGCGTGTCCATACATTGGCCACTTGCAACGCCATTGCTGCCTTGTATTTGTGTTCCTCCTTGACCAGATATCTGATCTCGTCATGTACGGTAATGGCTAGGCGGCAATCGATGTTGTAGCGACGAGTGAGGTAATCCATGGATACAATGAGGAGATGGAGGTAGTCCACGCCCGAAGACTGAATAGCCCAGTTGATTCGCGAAGTCATGAAGCCGCCTTTTGAGAGGTATCGTCTCTGCAGGGCCTCGGTGATGGCAGCACCAAGCACTGGTGTCCTTGGCCTTTCCTGTTCTGCAAAGTCTTCGAGTCTGTTGAAGACGAACGATTCGGTCCCACCGCGCCAGAATGTTCTTTCGTGCAGTGTTTTCCGTGTAACTTTCTTGCCCTTTGTGTTCTGATACAATGCCTCTGCTGTCTTGATCGTTTCTTCGTCGGTCAAGGACGGATTGAACTGCCGTAATAAGGTTGCAGCAAACTTCAGACCCGCACCGTAGATACGACCATAATTGAACACTTTGGCGTCATTCCTGGAAATTCCCAAGATGGACGCTGTTCGTGAATGCAGATCAGTGCCTGCTGCCTTGGTACCCTCAAGTGTCATGAAGCCAACGGCATTACCACCGTGCATCTTGAATGTCGCGTCGCCAATCAGACTAGCAATCCAGAGCTCCTGAGAATCGACATCGGCTCCAACGAAACAGTATCCCTTGGGCGCCCGTACCATGGATTTGAGCTCGGAACCAACGCGATTCTTCTTCGCATTGCTCGCTGTAAGCCATGTATTCTCAACCGCACGCCTCGTAATAGTACCCATGGGAATGATCTGTGGCAATATGAAGCCAACCTTTGTCCCCGGGCCCTCGTTAGAGGACGATGCTAGCGTAGGCGAATTGCCTGCTTCTTTATTGTAAACGACCATCTGCGTCATGATCCTGTCTCTTGCGCTGATCCAATATGAGCATGAAGCATTCATCTCCAATGCTTCTTTAGCATAATCGTATTCCGAGCCAAGCTTCCCTTTCTCAAAGTACTGCAGATAGCTCTTGGCAAGCGGATTCGAACATCTGGCAAGGGGCCCGTCCTTGTGTGGTATCTTGTAGTACGCGTGAGCGGTGTCGTCGCGCAGTTTCAGATCTTCTTCTTCAGACATGTCCAGCTCTTTTATTCCCTTTTCGCTGTAGGCAGACACTTGGTCCATGGGCACGCGGTAGGTCCACCCGTGTGTGTTAGACCATACTAGTGGATATCCGTCCCAGGCCAGCCTCAGCAGGATTGGCGTTAACCGTGTTCGCACGGTAAGAGTCATGGGTGCGTCATTCTTGGCAAACAGATCCTTGTACCATTTGGGCATTCCTGGTTTCTTTTGTCGTGCTGCAGGCCGCGGTGGGTCGCCCTTCTTCTTTCCTTTGACCATCTTCACCTCCTGGCCTGACCAGTCCAGCTGGCCTAGCCAGGGATCATTCTTGTACACGTCTGGCTTGTCCTTGACCTCGAGTGCCTTTTCTGTGAGGGCAACCAGCCTTTCTTTTACGCCATTGTCTAGCCTGTTGTACGTGGCCTCGGCGTTGTTGATGTAGGCATCCCACGTTTCGTCGACAGGGAGTATCTCGGCAGCCAAAAACCGCAGCGCGGCGAAGCTGACAGGATGTGGACATGTCTCGAGGAAGAGTGGGAAAACCTTTTGGTAGACGCTGTGTGTAATTTCAACATCCGTGGCGCAATAGCCGAGTAGCTCATCCAGCATGCCGCACACGCCTGGACGGTCAAGTTCACCAAAGTACTCTCTTTGTGCTTTGTCAATGGTGATGTTGCAATGGAATTGGGCGACATCTCGTAACGAATTGATTGCGCTCCGTCCTATCCAAAGCTCCTCTTCTTCGTCGTCCAGCAGAGCGCCCCCGCTCAGCACCGTCGACAAATCTGCATTCTCATCTGCCGTGGCCATCTTGTCTCGCTGCTCTCGGGTTTTCTTGTGCTTCATCCACGAGGGGCGTTGGCGCGAGCACATGCCGTTGGAGGCAACGTGCAGTGACATGGTATCCACGAAAGCATTTTTGGACTGGGCAATGTTGTACTCTTCTGCTATACGAGCCCTGTCGTAGCCAATGTTGTGCCCAACAATGACGCGGGGGATTGATGGGTCTCCCAGGGGAATCAGATGGCGATCCGACTTGGACTCTCCCAGCAGCCAGGGCGACAGCCAAGCGTACCAGGCTGTTGGACTGACTGCACATGCCATGCACGCAAACGACGTCTGCTTCCACATAACTTCGGTGTCGAAGGTGAGCAAGGTTTCATCGGGGGCATCCACTGCCTCTGTGGTGCCGTCGGTGTTGTACTTTGTCCAGCCGCTGCGTCGCACCCATTTTTGTGGCTTTGGCGGGGGGTTTGCCCATGCTAGGGTTTTTGCCATGCCCAAGAAGGGTTCGGCCGTATCCATGCCAAGCTTGTAAAAGTGCTCGTCGAGCGTTGCGCCCTGCAGCTCGGGCATGTCGAAGCCGACGGGCGGGCTCTTGTCCTGGTTTTTCCCGTACAAGTCATGCTTTTTGAGGTGATCCTTGGAGAGGGTGACAAGCTCGTCTGGGGGGAAAGTTTCTGGGCCGGGAAAGACCTGGGAGTGGATGTGCGAAGAAAGATGCTGGACGCCAATGGGACTGAAGCGGGGCTTGGAGGGGACTGGCAGGCGTCAGTATACAGCGAAAGGATTTGCATGGCGGTGCGGACAGACTGTTTAGACTTTTCGCTTTGGCGTCATTGCTTTTGGTGGCGGCGAAGCATCTCCGTGGCGGGAGATTGATATTGGCAAAGGGCGTTTGCGCAGGCAGCGGCCGGGGTGCGTGGGCGGCGTGGACGGTGCGGGGGCGGCATGGGGGGCGCATCGTGGACAATGGCGCAGGAGTCAGCGGGCGCACGGCAGCGAGAGCATGGCGGCGTGGAGGAGCAATGGCAATGGCAATGGCGGCGGCGGATTTTTTCGAGCAGCGCGGCGGCGGCGTGTCGTCATGGTGGTTTGGCTAGGCACGGCCCAGGCGACTAAGAGAGCCAAACTTTCCCAGGGCTTGGCATCCGGTCCCATGTGCGCTCAGCCCTACTTGTAAGTACGTGGGGCAGTGCGAGTGCGAGTGCGAGCAATGCAAATGACATGGCATGGCTGCATGCATGCATCCAGCATCCATGTTCTCTTTTGCAGCCGTGGCAGCACGCCCGAGCCGATGCGCGATCGCTGCAGCGCCATCCAGCACCCAGCTGGCGCCTCCTGCGACACCATGCCCAGCCCAGCCTCGCCCGCGTGTCGATGGTGAAGGAGCTGGCTGCTGCTCTCGCTGACGCGATCTGCCTGCTGCTACCGCCCGTCAATCGCCCTCGCCCTCGCCACCATGTCGGCCGCTTCTGCCCATCCCGACGACGACGGCCATGCCACGGCCTTGCCCTCGCCCTCGCTCTCGCCCTCGCCCTCACCTCCCCCTGACCACGCGCCCCACGACGGCGACGGCCTGACGCCTGATAGCCGCGCCTCGTCGGACCTCTTCGCCAGCGACCCGTTCCTTGGCAACGACAACGACAACGACAACGACAACGACAACGCCAACGCCAACGCCAACGCCAACGACGACGCCTCGACGGCCGCTGCCCGCCTCGACGACTTCTACCGTGCGCCGCCGCTGCCCTACACCACCGGCTTCTTCGACCAGATCCTCAACCCAGCCGGCCTCGACCACGCCAGGTACTCGCCCTTTGACTGGCGACCTTTGCGTCCTCTGGAGCCCGACATGCCACCCGCCACCCGCGCACACGCCCAGCCTCCGCCGGCTTCCCCGCGGCCCGACCGCCTGGCCAATGGCTACGTCGACTTGACCAGCGCCCCCGACTCCCCGCCGCGCACGAGAAAGAGGCAGTCGCCCACGCCAGGCCCGTCGGCCAAGCGCCAGAAGAGAGACGACGGAGCAGCCAACGAGGCCAGCCCGCACGACCCCGCGCCTGCAGAGGTGCACGAGGTCGACTTGACGGAAAAGTCGCCGGTTCAGCAAGTCGTGGAGAAGCAGCGCGAAGATGCGGCCAAGGCGCAAACCAAGCCCGACGAGACAGCCACGACATTCAATTCCTTCAACTGCGTCATCTGCATGGACAACCCCACCGATCTCACAGCTACGGCATGTGGTACGTTGGGCTCTGTACTCGCCTGTGTGCATTGGACTAATGAAGGGCAGGCCATTTGTTCTGCCATACCTGCCTCATGGAGGCTCTCATCGCCGGCGAAAATCGCACAGGTCCCCACGAAACCAAACGCTCGCAATGCCCTGTATGCAGAAAGACCATCAGCCGGAACAAGGCGAGCGATGTCATACCATTGCTGCTTAAAAAAGGTCTATCCACACAACCCAGGAAGAAGAAGGCGGTTGCGCCGGCTGTAGCCACCGTACCCAAGGTATCGTGAATGCATTTGGATTTCGCGATGCTTTTTTTTGAGCTTTACATACGAACCCCGTATCTCCTACTAAGTCATTTACTAGCTAGCCCAGAAACAAATACAGCGCGCGCCTCGAAGGTCCATACGACGCACGAGACGGATGGCCGATGATAGCAGTATTGTATGAGTAGAAACTGCAGCACTCGTATAGACTGTCACGATACTATAAAAGGTATTCGTTGGGATGAGCCATCTGCAGGCATGCAGCAACCGCCTGAAATGACATAAGCTGCTGTCTGCCGACTGTATAAGCACTAGCGTCATCAGGATGACGTAGGTAAATAGCTGGTTTGATAGAAGAATAGTCAATCTGCATGGCACTCAGCAACCTCACCTCCTCAACCCTCACCCCTCACCATGTCTCAGGATCCAAAATCTACATCTCAGATTGCCGTTCTCGGCGCTGGTGATGTTGGCGCTACGATTGCGTACTCGCTCATCATGAACCCAGTCGCGGGTGAGATCCTGATGGTGGATCCAAAAGAGGAAGTCCGCGACGCCCAAGTGCAAGACCTCTCTGACGCGACGTTCCACGGCAACACCAGCACGCGCGTGAGAGCAGGAACTCACAAAGAAGCCGGCCAATGTGATGTCGTAGTCATAACCGCTGGCGCAAAGCAGAAGAAAGGTGTGCATTTATGCAAGAGCAGAACAACAAAGGACTAATCAGTCACAGGTGAAAGCCGAACAGACCTCATTGGCCGCAACAAAGCCATTCTCGAGTCGGCAATTGGCGATATGAAACCATTTCGTCAAGACACTGTCCTGCTCCTTGTCGCCAACCCCGTCGACGTTCTCACCTACTTTGCCCAAAAGTTCTCTGGCCTCCCCAAGAACCAAGTTGTTGGCTCCGGTACTTTTCTCGACTCGGCGCGTCTTCGCGGGATTCTTGCCGCCAAGGCTGAAGTCGCTGCATCCAGCATCGACGCCTACGTCTTGGGTGAACACGGTGAATCTCAATTCGTCGCCTGGAGTCTTGCAAGCATCGGCGGCGTACCCCTGGATCAAGTCATTGCATCGGGTGATAGCATCGACAAGAAAGCCATTGCCGAGGAAACAAAGAACAAAGCCACCAACATCATTCAGAGCAAGGGCGCGACAAACTACGGCATCGGGGGCGTCTCAGCGAGTATATGCAAATCTATACTTTTTGACCAGAGCAATATCAGGCCAGTTAGCCATTACCAGGATGACCTAGATGTATGTCTGAGTCTGCCGGCCGTGTTGGGGCGAAAAGGTATTGTGAGGACTGTACCTATGCCATTGAGCGGGGACGAGAGAGAGTTACTGGAGAAGAGTGCGAAGGCGTTGAAGGAGGTTATTAATGCCTAGGTCAGCGGGCGAATCGATGACACTAGTGACTTGGTAATAGACGGGCACTGGTCCCGACAAGTCTTGGCAGGATGTATTCCTCCAAGAGTGGTGATATTGCTGCATTCCCCTCATTCAGCCATGCAATGCCCATTTCGAAAGACAAAGCCGACCCGCGTACAATATTTCCATCTTAAGATTTCCCCGCCATACCCACCATGCTTCAAGTTCAAGCACCCCCTCACCAGAAAAAGTGATACAGCCTGCTAGGCACTCTTGACAGCTTCTTTCATGAGGCCAATCACGTTATAAAGGAGGAACCACATCTCCTAGTACATGCGACCACAGGATACTTAAAAGTGGCTAACCCGTCAGATCTAGCATACACAAAAAGTTTACCGGCACGTTAGTAGTCAGGTGGGTGACCACTGGCGAATCCGTGCTGTTGCATGTTTTTTTCTTTTTTTGCTCCCTGGGTCTCTTTTTTTGTGGAGCAAGCAGCAAGCATAGCCCCCATATGCAGATCCGGCCCATGATCCGTTCAGGCGCCCCACTTGGAAAATTATCACATCTGATTGCCGATCGGGTCACCCTGAGTCACAACCAGAGGATGTGAAAGAGACAAGAAGAAGAAAAGAAACAACAAGAACCACGCAATGAACAATGACGTAGTCGTCGCTTTCTCGGGTATAGTCCAAGTGGGCTGAGAACCAGCGAGCAAAATCCTTACAGCGCATCAATACATACGCCCTGCTTGCATTCGTAAAGAGTGGCTATGCCAACACCACAAGTAGATGTTGGAAGGGCCAAGAAGGTGGGGGGCGCGCATTCGCATTCAGCCACACGCTCCATCCCGCCCAGTCGTTGTTTTCGCTCCGGTCCGCTAGTGTAGGACGGCTACACTGCATGAGTTCGCTTCCTCATCATTTCGACTCATACTTTGTCTGATTGGCCTGTTTCTGTGTTGCCTGTTAGTCATCTTTCTGCCTTCTGCATCTCTCCCATACCCCGATTTTCGTCTACGGGTAAAAAGTGGCATATATATATATGTGCCTGAGGCTACACGTTTACAGCACAACAACACTCTACTAGAGTACCAAATCTGCGCATGTCATTGAGTCTTGATTTCACTTCTACCAACAGCAACAACGGCGGAAATCTCAACATGGCGTCAGACCAAAATCCAATCAAGTTCTTCGACATTGCCTCCGGGCCCCCAAAGCGATGCTATGCGCCCAACCCATGGAAAACACGGTTCGTCTCCCTCCACCCCCTCTCCCTTCCTTCCATCAACTCCCAAAACACTACATGAATTATCAAAGCACCAGCTAAAACCCCCCACCCAGCTACACGCTCAACATCAAAAACGTGCCCTACGCAACCCAATGGGTCGAGCTACCAGATGTAAAATCCACACGGCTAGCCCACAAAGTCGATCCCGTGCGCAAGTTCCCAGACGACACGGATTTCTACACACTACCCATGATTCACGATGTTGCAAACGACACGTGGGTCGGCGACTCCTTCGACATTGCCGTGTACCTGGACGAGCAGTATGCGGAGAGCGGCGAGAAACTGTTTCCCCCGGATAGTATTGGGATCCACCGCGTCTTCAATGCGCATGTTGACGCGCTGTTTACGCGGCACGTGGTGCTGTGCTCGAACTATATGCCGCTGAATCCTGAGACGGCGGAGCAGACGAAGCGCGAGTTTGTGGAGAGACTGCACTTGGAGAGCTGGGAGCAGCTTTGTGTCGAGGGCGAGGCGCGCGAGAAGATTCTCAGGGCGTTTGAGGCCGATATGGAGGATTTTGCTAAGCTCTGGCGGTTTGGCGATCACGGCCCGTTCCTCGAGGGCAAGCGGTTGACGTATGCCGATGTCATTGTGGGTGGGTGGCTCCAGTTTGTCAAGGCCACTCTGCCCGAGTGGGACAGGATTTGTACGTGGCAGGGAGGACGGTGGAAGAGGCTGGTGGATGCGCTGGAGCCGTGGGCCAAGCAGGGGTAGGGGAGTGAGGAGAAACGTGGAGTGAAGTGGTGAGTTGATGATATCTGCCTAGCCTAGTGCTATCACTCTATGAAAAGCTGTTAATGGTTCACGCTTATAATAATACACCTTCAGCTTTCTACGCACTCTTTGTACCCCGAATAACCCACAGCGGATCCAGATGGTCAGGAAGATGTGGCGAGCCTCTCAGAACCGTGCCTCTATCATCCGTGACGCGAAAACCCCTCTCGTCTTTGGCGCAAAGATCCACCGCCTCGACATTCTTCCACCCAGAAAAACAAAGATAATCTGAAAAAAAGTCAGCCATAGCCAAACACGCTTCCCCCCATCTGTCTGCAACTTACCACCGACAAACTCCAATCTCATCAGCTCATTCAGTATCGACCACCTACTAACCACTTTATTCGGAAAACACCGATTACTAATAACCAAATGCACCGTTCCGCCTTCCTTTGTCGCCTCCCGCAACTTTCCCAACACCGTGAGCGGTTCTTTCAGATACTCGACACTAACCACACACGTCGTGGCATCGAACAGCAGGTTCTCGCCCCTCCACGCAGCGCGGATATCGTACGGTGGCTCATTCAAATCCAAGACGCGCCATCTCTCGTGCTTGCTCAAAAACACGCCATTGAGCGCCATTTCCTCTCTGTTGAGGCCCACGCCGTAGATCTGCAGGTCACCCTTCTAAACCGCCTTCTTGACAGCCGTGGGGTAGTACGAATTCCAGCTCGTGCACAGATCGAGGATCTTGCCTGTCCGCGGCAACACCGTCTCGTAGTACTGCTTCAGCCGCGCAATCGCCGCGTCGTCAATGTGCGTGAACAAGCGTGCTTCGCTGTAGAATTGCGCGTCGGGGGTCTCGTCAGAGCGCTCGAAATCCTGGGCTGAGTAGGGCCATGTGTCGTATTTGGGTTTGTATAGTACGGATGGAAAGTGGGAAATCGCGGAAGACGATGAGGATGCCATTGTTGCGGTGGGGCTGCTAGAGAACAAGTTGAACGCGAGGGTGGCGCTATGGCTCAGTGAAGAATATATGCGCCGTGGAGGAGTGGGGAGAGACCGCAAACAGTGAGAGAGTAGTGCCATTGAGCTTCTTTACGTAGTGTTTTCCAGTGCGGCTGTGGCAGAGAAGGCGCGTGTCAAGTGGAAAGGCATGCAGACTGGGTGAATGACGTCAAGACACGCGGGCTCACGTGGAGACGCGAGGGAATAAGTATGCTTTCCTTATTTGGCACTCAAGCCACCATCCAGCTTACTCCAGTGCAGCAGCCATCTTCCTTTCCAAACCGCCTCGTATCAGGCTCTTGGAGAGAATTCGTAATAGGATAGCGCAGACAAGTTCACGGGTCACTTATTCCGAGGCATTCGGAATCCCAGTTCTGTGCTTGCGGGGTTGATGTGTCTGACATACCTACATAGCTATATATAAAAGCGCAGCGTGTCAAGCAATAGTAGAGAAAAAATAATTTCAATAATGCAAGATACGCAAATTTCCAGCATGCCGTCTATCCTCACCACCGCAACACTAACATGCAAGGATCCGCAAGCCCGGCAGCAAGTCATCTCGGCATTTAAGAACATCATCGCGTACACGGCGCCTCACGAGCCAGAGGTGCTGCAGTATGTATGCGCGCTGCTGGAATCAGATGCTACAGACACAAAGATCTACATGATTGAGGAGTATGTTTTTTTTATTTTGTCTGTGTGAATTGAAGAGATAGGGGAGAAGTATTGACAAGATTTAGATACGCAAATCAAGCGGCGAGCGATGCGCACATGGGTACACAGCCAGTGAAGGATCTCATACAGCTGTTTAGCACGAGCGATGTTCTGGTTGAGCCTCCTGAAGTACATAATAGTACGGTTTTGGTCAGGAAGACGATTAACCCAGTGACGACGTCTGCTGTGTCTGATTCCCGCGTCCTTGTGCTAGAACTTTCTGCCTTGGACGCGGGTACATCTGCGAGATCCCCTGAAGATGTGGATGCGGTAGTGGAGAAAGTGCGGAGTAAAGTTCAGGGCCTACGTTCGTTGGTCGTGGCAGAAGACCAGGCGACGAAGAGCATACGCATAGAATGCGCACTGGAAGGCGGGGGCGCGTTGATGAGTTTTCCCGAACTGGTACTTGACGATGAAGCGAGGCCGGTTCACGCTGTCAAGATTATACCCAAGCATGGGTTTCTGAGTCGAGCGAGAAAGAGTAAATTGTAACGTGGAATCCCAGTAGTGGACTTTGCTGCGTATATTCTCAAATAGTGGCCCATGCGCCCAGACTGTCTTATACACGCTCTACATTCCCCTGTTGCCAATTTCAAGATGGATACCAGTTCCTCGTTCGCCAGCCTGGTTTCTTGATTTCCTTAATCTGAGGAATCCACATGTCGAGCCACAAGTTCGTTGATCTTGAGTCCTGGACGGTTGTGCCCTTGCACAAATGGCGTGTACCGTAGAAGTGCCTCCAGTAGTCTTCAAGATCATCTCTCTTGACGCCATGAATGCCAAATCTGTTGCTGTCTGGTGCAACCGTGAACCATCCGAATAGATAGTAGGGCTGTCATGTTGCGTTAGTAAAACCACGACTTGGTCATTGAACAAAACACTGCGCAATTAACATAACAACAGCAATACATCTGGCGTTTCGATATAGCAGCTCTTTTTTCTTTTTATTCCTGAGCATCTTTGCAAGCGCATCTGCTATGTTGTCAGTAATGGCATTTTGCATCACTCCTGAGCTATCTCACCTCATTAGCATGGAACAGTTGGGCACGACTCGCCACAAGTACTATCGCATCGTTTTAAAGATCAGACTTGACTGCGGTACGGCGCCGGAATATCGGCGTAGGACACATGCTCGAAGCGGGCGGAGAAAGCCATACGTCAATTGTCCTCGAAGCCCCGTGGTGTTCGACCCAGCATTGCAACCGGCGAGGCGAGTTTGGTCCACGATACATGCAGTACCCGGGCTGCCGAGTTACTTCAGACCAGCTGATATTGTGGTTGATGGTTTGGTGGCTGTACCCCGTCGATCTCGCAATGAGCCATCCCCGCTGCGGTTTCACCTAGAGCATGTTTAGCTCCGAGTGTATTGCAGTTGCGAATCGAGAAAATCGGCCTCTTTTGTCGAGATGGGGTTCAAAGGTGCTGCATCGTTCTACCGGCTGCTGGTACTGCTGCCCATTGGTTGCGGCCGTTACGTTTTACGGATCCAAGGTGATCGGACCAAATGGTCATTCAGCCAAGAAAGATACAGAAAGCTTCATCTCAAGAAATGTGAAAACTCTACATACCTTATTCCACTCCAGGTCGTTCACTATTAATTGATCTTGGGGTCCGCCGTCGTAATTCCCGAACTCAAGATAGAGACAGGCCTCTCTTCCACCGATCTCTTCTTTGCGGTTTCTGAAAATCCTAGATTCTTCCAGCTTTTGAAAAAGCCACAGCCCCTTTGGATTGTCGGCTTCCATCTGAGTATCGCACCATTGGTGCAATGTTTCGGAGTATCGAGCCCTCTTTTTGTTGCTCCATATATTTGTTGTGAGCAGGGTGTCGAATACAATGGAGCGATCGCAACCAGCTTCTGTGACAGCAAAGCACAGCGTATCTAAGCTTGGTGGTTTTCCTAGCCGCCGATTATGATTGAACAGCTCCACCGCCTCAAGCTTCCGCTTAAGAATAGCTTGCCGTCTGCCTTCAACCGCGATTTTTGCTGTCTCGGGATCATTCCAGTCAACGCTCATGCTCGTGATCCACAGTAGAAACCGAAGGAACTCAATCTTTTCCTGCGACCATGGTCCCCTGAGTAACTTCTTTGGTATGCGGCCTTTTACAAAAGAAAGGCGCGGCAAGTGGCTTCGTGAGAAAATCATCGTGGTTGCATCGTTGAAGTTTGGAGGCCACTGGGCGTCGAAGCAGCCGTCTTCGGGCGTATGGTCACACAGGCAGCCTGCAGTTTCGAATCTCCGTATACACCAGGATTGGAAGAAATCCCATGTCATCCATTTTGAAGCAAAGATCTGCGTCTGTGCTGCGGACTGCTGTGCACGCTGACCATGCACCTCGGTTATTATTGTTCCATTAGAGTCTAGTGAGCTCGAGGCTATGTAAGACTTTGGCCGAGGCCGTTCTAACTAGATTTATTTACAAATACGAGTTTGTGCTTGAAGTGTGTCTGTGGTGCTTCGGCTTTGTCTAGGTAAGCGATAGCTATCGCTTACTAGACGCCTAGTGCTAAAGAGTCATTTTGATAACAGAAAGAGATG